TTGTACATACCTTTTTTTTTTTTCCTCTTTTAAAGTGCTTTGGTTCTTTTTACAACGTTGACTGTTAAGGCAAACCCATAGAAGCCAGTAAATCCCATTGCACAACGTATCTCTCTTGAGTGTCTGTTGCCTACAGCAGCTACTTAATTGGCAAGTTTGTTTCCAGTAGGCTGAACCAATTAAAAAAATTTTTCAGCTTTAATAAACTGATACCCTACCGCTCGGGGTAGAATATTCCTTTTGTGAGCAAGTGCTCTACATCATCCTCCTGTGTTGTTTTATGTCACTGCCCCTAGCTCCCAAGAAGCATGGGGCTAAAATGAAAATGCTGAAGAGCTTCCAGCATGAAGCTGCTCTTTCATGTAATTACACCTGCTGCTAATAGCCTTCCATTACAGCCATGGCACAGGTTGTGCTAATCCATTACAAATGATTGGTTGGAATTTAAAACACCACTGCAAGTGCGCCAGACTTCACGCTGAGCTCAAACTGTCAGATTTCAAACCCTTTTACCCTCCATAAGTGACAAGGTGGGCCACGTTACAGCAGCTGTTACCTAAGGGAAGTGTTGAACTTATCACTGGGACCATCCTTAGGGTTCACCTGTGAGGCTATTTCCTGAAAATAATGAGACTGGTTCTGCCCATTTCTGGTATCGGCGTGAGTTCCAAATTCAGACACAGGGCTCTAACAAAGGGCTGGCTGCATAAATCTCACCACTAACCAGGACTGTCTGCAGCACTGCTGCTTGCCTGAAGAGATGAATGCATATGTAATTGAGCTTGAAATTTCTGACAAATCTTCTATTAAAAAAAATTGAGATTTTCTTAAAGAAATCTCAACAAAACTAAGAACACGTGCCATACCTTGAATTTCACTCTGAGGTGCTTGATTTGTTTGTTCTTATGTATCAGGGAAACCCCACGGTAAGTTCACAGTGAAAGTTTTTCTGTTTTTGAAGTGCCATTTTATTTAACGTTGCCCTGTGCCAGAGCTGCTACCCGTAGACCACTCAGTTTCAAAGACATATTCAAATGCACACTGCAATTAATTAGTTGACAGCCTACGAGCCTAAAAACAGGGAAGAGGAAGTATTTAGCTAAATCAGCATTTCTTAGACATTTTCAGAAGAATTCAGTCAGCATTAAGACACAGGTGTGCAAAAATGCAACTGTCTACATGTGAGCCAGGGTCCACACACCTCTTGAAGTGAGTGAAGCTTATCCAGCCAAGCAACTCACTCAACACTGGCCACCTACTCACTGGCCCATGAAATCACACCTTTGCTCTGCTGTCTGCAGGGAGTTGAGCTCCATCTCGTTGCTTGCTCGTAAATCTCTGCTGCCCTTTCAAATGCTCTAAAGCATCCCACGAGACCAGCGAGTATCTCCCAGGCTCGCACCATACCCCATCCCCCTGGCCCTGGGCAGATGGCCTGGACACTTGAAAACATCCCAAGCAGCACCAGACACCTGAGAGTAAAGAATGGAGCTGAGCCCTACATCCACTCAGATGTTAATAGCAGTGCAGAGGTCTAGATCACATGCAGACACCTGAATTTAAGGGTTTTAACCTTAAACAGTCTCTGAAGCTGATGAACAGAGCGGGGGGAGCAATTACTTCTTCCTCCAACGGCATCATAAAATTTAATAGTTAAAAATACACCAAAGCCCTCCACTAGAAATCATCTAGTTTATTTTTTTTTCCCCCAGGAAATGTTCTCTTTACTACTCTCCCTACTCAGTATTCATTTAAGTAGCAGTTAATTAACCAACTGGCAGAGAAGATCAAACGAGACTGTTCAGATTCGGTCGCACATTGCGCCTCCACGATGCCGGGTGGGGAGAAAGGCCCAAGACTAAGCGGAAGTTCTCTCTACAGCTCTCATTACATTGCAACTCCAGTATCATTTAGCAAACGCGACCCTTTTTGTACAAGAATACAGCCACGGAAAAGGCTTTTCATTGCCCGAGTTGCACTTACACACTGCCATCTTGTGTCCCTATCAGATAATTGGTTTTGCTGAATTTCAGAGCCCAACACACTCCAAATGCTTTACCTAGGATCAAAACCCACCGATAAAGCAACAGTCATAAAGTGAGTTTCTCTGCCTGTTCCTCTCCAGGGAAAGGAGAGGGGGAAGGAGTCTTTATTGCCAACTGGAGTTAGCAAACACAGGTTTAAAGGAGCCTTGTTAAAGGCCTTCTACAAGGGTGAGAAACCCAGCTTCAACTCTGCAAGGGCTTCAACTTCAGCTCTTTGAGCCCCACTGATCCAAACTTCCACTGGCTGTTTGCTCACAGGCAAGCCTTTTGGAACAAGCTAATGAAATTACTCTTTTTTTTTTTTTTTTGCAGACATTCAGTGGGAAAATTAAATTGGAGCCCATGTGGAAATACTTGACACCACATAGGAAAAGCCAGCCTGGCTCAACGCACGTCAGGTCACCAGTGGCATCGCAGGCCGCAGGTTGCTGAGCTTTCTTCTCTCCCTCCGTTCTTCAACCCTCCAGGCAATTTCCATGCCCAAATGACTCCCAGGGACAGGGCAACATGTCAGGTCTTAAGATGCAAGAGGCAGCGTGGCCATCCCTGACTTTTCCCACCGCTTTGCTGCAAAACACAATGCTGGGAGAGGGGAAATCATGGACAGGCTGGATAAATTCACTGATGCTTTGGCAGTTGAGAAACTTTGACCTGTGACAAAAAATTTTGTCTCTCAGTATATTTCAGGGCTGGTGATGGGGACTGTAGGGATCCTGAATTTACTAAGAGGAGGGGGTGGTGTATGGAGTTGTCCATAGTCTGATGCTGCCTACCAGAAGAGTGAAAACTAGACAGTGTAGAGGGGCATCCATCAGGTATATGTCTTAATTGAGAGCCAGATCTGCACAGCACCTAATTTGGGTTCCTATTCTGAATAGCTCTCAGGGAAGCAGTCTTCTTCCACAAGCAGCAGAGAGGAGCCCAGGCTCCCAGAGAGCTCTGCAAGTGTGAATCTCCTTCCATAGTCTGTATTTGAAGACCAGGGCCTTCATACCCCAAAGTTCTCACCTGTGGTCTGTAACATCATTGCTTACCACAACAGTGGAAACCGAATGAAATCCCTTTACCAGTCCATTTCAGAGAAGACTGAATAATAACTGAATACCAAAGGCCAAGGCCAAGTCACAGAGGTGGCTGAACGAGGAGCTTGTCAACTTCAAGTTGATGAGGCATTTTAGATTTTATTTTATTTTTTTAGAGCAAAATTTGAAAATTATGTTTGGCACTTTGTAATTCAGCCTTTATCAGCAGTGAGTTCCTTGGCACAAGGCAGAACCCATCTGTTCAGGGGAAATGTCAATAAACCAAAGCATAACAGGAGACAGGTGGAGTTACAAGCGGGAGACTTTACGGAAGGCCCGCACAGATGAAGTTATTCCACTGCACCAAAACAGCGTGATCTTCCCTTGCTGCCCCCAGCTATCACAGCCACGATGTCTTCTCCCCAGCCTGCTAGCTCTCCTATCTGTCCTTGAGATCCCCTGAGAGGAAGGAGCAGCATAAGCTGCTTTGGCACCCTCACTGCAGCTCCTCATGGTGCCATGTATAAGCTCAAACTTGGAGCCCCACCGCCCCTCCTACACCTCCCAGCTGTCCTCTTCCTTGGTTTCATCCACAAAATGCTCTCCCAAACTCCTCTGATCCATGTCCTATGTTTTCTTTGCTGCTTCCAAGGACGCAGACACAGAAGGGTCCACAACTGGGCATGAAAGGGTTTGGGAAAGCCACTGACCAAAGCAATTTGGGAGCCATTGCTGAAAAAACACCTAGTGCACATTCCAGCAGCACTCCTTTTCAGAAGGAGGAGAAGCTAACCCAAAAATATATCGAGCACCTCATTTCTAGCCACAGCAGAGAAGTTCTGGGAAACTTCCATCTCTTCCAATTGTCGTGCTTCAGGGATGACCACAGAGAACAAAGAATCAGACTCAACACTTGCTTTAAATGCTGAAGGGAAAAGAGCATGAGGAGCTTGATGGGGGAACTATATACAAAATTTGAGATCTACTGTAAAGGAAAAGAGAAAAGCAGGAACTATTGTTCTTGCACATATTTAGGTGGACATCTTAATCCTTTCATACAAAATATTTTCCCAAGGTGAAATTCAAACAATTTTGTCTTTCAACAAATCACCTTAGACACACTTAGCTGGAGAGAAAGAAAAAAAAACCTGCAAACTTCTAATAAATGCAACATCAGAAATTTTATTTACAAATATACTGTAATTCAACAACCATTCTCCACTCAGTTTGTGGAGGAAAAAGTGATAGTGACATTTTCCAAATGGGAAAAGAGAACTCTTCCTCTTAAATGGATTCCACAGAATATTATGCCAACACCACTGAGCAAACAGATTATTCTTTGTATTTAAGTTTCAAAAAAGCAGATAATTTTAGAAACCAGCATATGGAAAGCAAACACATTTGTGTGCATTTAAATGCAGCTTCATAATTAACCTAGAGAATTCACTTTCAGTATATGTCAAAAATAAAGACAGCAATTGCAAATATATATTTATATTAGCTATTTCTCTAATGCTCATTTCAAGAGCTTAGAAACAAAATACCCTCTTCATATACCATTGGAAAGTCAACTAGTTGATTATAAGCCTCAAAAATATTTTGAAGTTATTACTGAAAATATACTTATTCTCCCTTGTGCTCTCAGTACTTGAAGCTGAAAAAGTGAAAGCATTTTCCCCAGATATTTCCTTACTGCAATTACTTTCTTATAAATAAAAATAGTTATATGAAGAATACAATGCATTACTAGGAAGACTAGACAAGCAAGAGTTACTCTTAGAAAAAACACACACATACACACAATATATATATTTATAGATCTACATCAGCAGCAATCACCTCTTCTTTTATCTGCAACAGTGGTTTCATATCTTCATTTGCTTCACATGGAGGTTGGTTGTCCACCTGTTAGAGAGAGACAGAAAAAATTGTAAATAAAGTCTATCTACTGAAGAACCTTAGTGACAAAAATTAAAATTTCCAAGTTAAAAATAGTCAGATAATGGCATTTCCAATACCTATTAAAAATGGTAACACAAAGTAAGGTATACATTCTGAATCTAGCAATGCAAATTTAAAGAACAATAAAAATTTGAGTTTAATTCCATTATAGCACTGCAAGTATTTCAGGCCAAGTAATATTCCACATAACATGCACCTTACCAAGATTTTCAGAATTTTTAGTATTAGCATAGAGACAGGGTGACAGTTTTTCTAAATTTACCCTTCAATAATGAAATTAATATTTGCTAAATAACTGTAACAATATTTAGAAAGGACTTTTGTATCCTCTGTCTCCATGTATCTGCAGGCATCTGCCAATTCAATGGTGTTTTGCTACAACGTTCCAAGTTTAAACCACAAAATTAACATTAAAATGTGCAAAAATATCACACCATAAGATTACACAGTGAATATTAACGATCTCACAGTTTATCAAACCTTTTAGCCATTATATTCACGTTCCAAACTAACGAATAATTAGCCAGGCTGATGTCAAATGCCAACTGCAAACAAAGTAATCTGCATTGCAGACCAGTGCTGTGCTGTCAGTATTATCTTCATCGCAGTAATCGCATAGCCAGTTTTTGTATTATTCAAGTAGCTAATTTGAATTACTAATCACTAATTTCAATGCTTCATTCTGTACCTACAAGTTCTTACAATTCCCGATTCACTCGCATCTCATACAATTACGTTTTGAGGTGCCCACTGGCCCAAGAAGATGCAGTCTGAAGGGAAGGGAATGGAAACATTTCTCACAGATCAACTCTGCTTCTGAAAGGCTCTGCTGTGATTTTATGGGCTATAATGTCAAAAAGAGACTAACAAGCAATTTATCTATGATGAACTTTTTGCTTACTTCCATCACCAAATTCCTGAATGCTGTTCTTGCCAGGAAATAACAAAAAAAAAAAAAAAAGATTTTTTTTTTCAGTACTGAACTTACACAACTCATCCAGCAATTTTGCCAGCTAAAAGAAAAGATAAAGCAGAAATAACACGAGCAGGTTCCAGATTGAATCTCCTGCACATTTATGTGCTTCATATAGGAACATGGTCACTTTGGCATCAAGCAGGAGGTAAATTCTCCGAACGTGGACACCGAGAGATATGACCCAGTGCTCCAGGTCACCTCCATATGGAAGGAGGTGATTCTCTTCCTCCTTCCACTGATCACAGAGGCACCCTTACACCCAGCATTAGCCTCTGTGAAGGCATGGTTAGCGTCAAGAGGAGGCCTGGGGTTTTCTGGTTTTAAGCTTGGGCACCACAAAATCACTTCTGTGTGGTGCAGTCAACTTGTCTTCTTCCTGGAAGCCAAAAATGGGAGTCTGAAAACAGCAACAGCATCAGATGCAGAGCTTCTCTTTTTTTCTGAGCTAGGCTTCTAGCCAGCAGATGCCCAAGACGTGCTCAAGTGTTGTAGCATGAGTATCCTGTTCCCTTCACTGCCTTCTGGTCCACTGTGAGAAAAATGTGCTGGGCTCATGAAGAAACATGGACATCTTTCCCAGGAAGTAATTCAGAAATGCTTTCCCTTGGCTGAATTTTATCATTCCAGAGAATTCCATATTTGCTACGTAAAAATAGATCTATATAAAACTCCGAGACTTGTCAAAATTAGGAGGTTGTCTACCATCATCTATGACAGCAGAAAAAACAACTCAACACCACTATTCAAAGCCTTAACATCATGCTCCAGTAAATTAGAATTCTGCAAACCATAATAAAGGAAAAAAATTATACTGCACCTTTTAATTAAGATCTGTAAGTAAATCAATTCCTCCTGAACTTGTACCTAAATGAATAACCAATCACAGACCTATAATTCAGATAATAATAGCATCGCAAAAAGAAACCAGCATTTGTGCCACCTGCACAGGATAAACTAATAGCTTTCCAGGTATGCATTAGGACTGAATTAAATACATATTCAGAATACTTTAAAAAAAAAAATCTAGACAATTTTTCAAAAAGACTTCTCTGTTATCAAGACAAGCCTGTTCAGCAACTGACAACTCCTTGACACCACTTTCTCAGATCTATGAAGAAAGAAGGATGACTATACTGCATTTTCTGCTTGAAGCTGCTTAATAACAAGGTGGCAAAATCAGCTACCAGCAAGTTAAAAGTTAGGAATGACTACTCTTAAAAAAAGAGAGAAACTGGCAATCAGACCTTACGCAACCTATTCTCTAAGACATCAACTTAAAGGTAAACGTGAAAGCCATCGAGTGGCTCAGCTGTGCAAACACTTGAGGTTTTACAGGACAAAGAGAAACCAGGGGCATGCACACTGCAGCTGGATTGCCTTACTTTTAAATCTGACATAGCAGTCGTTGCAGAAGAGTTTGTTGTTTCGGATCCTGACTTCAGCTCCGGAGCGGGATCCCCCAAGGTCGCATCCGCAGGCAACACACTGTGTGACAGACGAACCATTAGCAACTCCTTACAAAATATTAAGAAACTAAAATGCTGTTCAAAAGCAGCCTGGATTAAAGCTCAACAAAGCTTGAACCATAAACCCACAATCACTAGAAGCAAATGTGTAACGATTAGTAGATCAAAATGCAACCAACCCTGAGAAAGTGTTTTAAGGCGACGACTGGACAATGAATAGCAGAGATACACCGACTACGCAAACACAGAGCAGACACTTTTTAGAGATTAGTTCATTAAATCTAATTTGAAGTTCAGTTTCTCTGAAAATTAATACTGGCTCGACATGAAAAAAAATTAAAAAAAAAAAATTGTTCTCTAGACAACAACAGCAATTTTGGCACAGAGCACCTGGGGGTGCTACTTGCAGATTTCCATGCGGCACTATATGCAGCCCTTTGGCACCCAAAGCAGCAAATACTCAGGCACCCCCTATTTCCTGGGTTTGCATCACAGGAACAAGCTCTTATTTGGAGAGAAGGAGCCAATTTCTTTTTTTTGAATAAACACACGAATAAAGGGCTTGAAAACATTCGTGCCAAGTTTAAACTATTTAACTATGGTGGCTGAACACATCTTTGCTGTGAATGTCAACTACTTCTGGAAGGACTGTAAACCAAAGTGTAACACTCCTTATTGAACTGAATTTGAAATTATGAGGCCAAGTACTCAGCTATCTACAGAAGGACAGATAGCTTGCCTGTTTAAATGAGTAATAAATCTTTTGGATAGCAGTCTGTTCAACAGCTCATTAATCTCGAGAAATTTGAAAAACACAGATTGCATGTTTTCTCATGTAGTTTAGGACTTACAGGTGGACTCCCTCACAGGGAATACACGTTCTACAGAAAGGGAGTGATGACCAACCCCTGGATTACTCCAGTCCCTCCTGCTCAGGAAGATCTCCAAGTCAATCCCTTGTAATACTCTAGAGTTTACACATTCGAGCTGGACACAGAGGGCAACACAGGGTTCTGTTCTGAACCCGACACAGAAGTCTCTTTCTTAAAGCCATGGGAGAAGCAGGGCCCAACAGAACTTCCAAATTAGTTTAACTCCTCATCTGGTCCCTACAGCGGGGGAGCTAGGAGTGTTTTTACATCTTTGCAGGCAAACATTTATTCTTTCAAGTCTACATATGCCCCAAGCTGACTGAAAATCACTCAGTGGTGAGCATGAGCTAATACACCTGCCTAGCTTCTGAGCAGGGCTGATTAGGACTACTATCTCTAGCTTCTGACCAGGGATGTTTTGCACTAACCACAGCTTCTGTTTTGGTGCTGGGTTTTATCCTGCCAGTTTGAACACTGCCAACTCGCCTTCGCCTGGAAAACACCGTGTGAACACTGTCTGCTAGGATCAGCTTAGAAGTGATGGATTGTCTCAAATCATTCAATTGCATGGGTCCAGGCTGAGATTTTATCTGGTTTTTAAGGACCTGATTTCTCTGGGACTGGTGGACAACACCTTCTGATTTTTTTTTATTTTATTTTTTTTTTGCTGTCCATTTGAGGAAGGAAAAACTTTGATTTCACAGCCAACGTGTCCATTTTACTTGTCAGAGCCCTACTTGTCAGCTCTGGCATTTATGAAATAGTCCTAGAGTTGAGTGCTAAATGCCTGCAGACAGGACTGCCCCATGGAAATCTGCATGCACCACGCTGTCAAGAGTAGAAGGCAAAGCAGTGATTAGTAGAGCCCCAGTGAGCGTAACACTGAGCAGCCATGCGTGCTCCTGATTAGTTCCTGTTCCTTCACGACGTGACTCCCAGCTCTCACCTTAAAGCAATGTAAATGATAACAAAGACCAAGAGACTCAATGATCATGGCTGCTCCTTTGCCCAGAACGTTATTACAGTATGAACAGATTTTCTTCCCACTGACTGACCTAGATACAGAATGAAAATCCTTAAAACCAGCTTGAAAAGGTTTTAAAAGACAAAGAAAAGCTATCAAAGACTTTTTGAGATTAAAAATAAAAACATACTGGTAAAAAGTGGACTATTAGGCTGCTTGGGGAAAATAAACTGAAAATTAGTATTATTTACAGTGGATCTGAAAGCTAGGGAAAGCTGAGGCGTTATAATTTAGATCAAAGTTACATAGGAACAAATGAAGAGATCCTGTCACATCCTTGGGAGACGTTTCATTGTATAAAATACCTTTGACTAATAAACATGAAGAATATATTGTTAAGTTTGTAGAGTAAGAAGACAGGTTATACGCTCCTGCCTTACTTTTTATTTGCAGGGAATTATCCTGAAGGCTAAGTTATATCAATCAGCTCCGCCAAGTGTCACCATCTGCACCTTGTTAGATAACAGAAGGCTAGTCATGGACATGTAATATTATGTTAACTCTTAGAACATATGCCATACAGAGGTCATTTTCCATAGATCTACCAAGATGTTCACAAATGGAAGTGAGAACAAGATAAGCAAACATGGTTAAGAAGGTAATTTCCTTACATTATAAGGAATGTAGGAGCCTAGCTTTTTATTTTTTTAAAAAAAAAGGGCCAATTTATCACAAGGTGCCTGAGAGTGTAGGAGCTAGTGAAGCAGTGTTCACACTGTTATATACAATACATGTAATTGTGTGGGGATGATTCTCCATGCTCTTACCCCAAGGTATTTTTAAAGTTTCAAGTACATAAACAGCAGAGTTATCTACCCTACCACAACTGAATTCCAGTTTTGTTTCAAAATATGTTGCAATTCTTGCTTTCTCCTCCTAGATTAAAACCAACATCCTACTCTGTAATTCTCCAGGGTCACGGGTTATGAGCATTCCTGAGTGCTCCTTGAGAAGATATTGACCACATGCCAGGAAGGGGGGGGAGGAGAGACCAAGAAGAGGGCCATAAAGCGTGGGTTTCAGGAATCTTTTGTTAAAACAAACCTAAGAAAATAAATGTCAGAAATGCCATCTGGAGTAGGCTTTTACTAATCATTTTGGTAACCAACATACAGCTTGGAGACTGGGGATTTATTATTCCAGTTCCTTTGTTTTTTTAACCGATGTCAAAGCAGTGATGACAAACCTGAGGAATTTTCTGGATGACTGGAGCAGGGGGGTAATACCAGCCCATATTTCCACCACCCCATCCAGCCAGAAAACTCCAAGTACTTTTCAGACTTGTTAATCAATGTTATGGGCCAGAGCACTGCTGTAGACCACCATACACCCAAAGCCCACCCTTCAGTGTGGCCTGACGTGTGTATCTTCCCAGCAGAAGGGCACCCGCTCACCTGCTGCGTGTCTGGGACCCTGCCTGGGAAGTAGAGAGGGGAGACTGAGCCCGGGGGGCTGCCTGGGACACGGAGGGGGCCCTCACAGAGGTGGCCGCAGGAGGTGCTTTGCTGGAGGAAGGAGTGCACATGTAGGCTCGGTTTGAAGTGGACACCGGGCGACTGAAATCTTGACTGGAGGAGGACAAGGATGTAGAGGAGGCAGAGTGGCTCAGCCATGTATGGTGCCTCCATGAGCTCGTTCTTGAAGAATCAAGGTTGTCCAAAGACTCTCCTCTGCAATAAAGGTACACATACAAACGTAAATGGCAGTACAGCTGGAACAGAGGAGCTACTGTGCTGTTGTTTTTTTTTTTTTTAAAAAAAAGGAAAACATTATCCTAGCATTTTTGAGATTTTCTAGCATGAATGTTTGTTTGATCACCCTGAGCAATATTCTTCACATACTGATTTAAAACGTTTGAGCCACAAATGATCCTTTGTGTCCAGTCCTTGTCTCACGGGAAAAAGGCAGGCGAGGCAGAAGAGAGCACTTAACCACTAGAGAATAAAGGCAAAAACACCCTTTGCTCCAGCCTTATCAGGGAGAACCATATCAAAATCCGCTGTACAGCAACCGACCTCAGATACCAGCTTTGTTTTTGTTTTCTCCTAGGGATACCAGATGGAAATAGCAATCCACCCAGACTGGATAGCATCGTCTAGGTACAAGGTGTTGGCCCAATAGCCAAACATTCTCCTGACTGATAACTTGGCTGTTTCCAAAGTGACAAATCCAACATTCATACATTACTCAAAGCAAGAAACGCTTCAGACTTTGACATACTTCTATGTAAAAAAAAAAAAAAAGCATATTACTCAGCCCTAGTAATCAATTTCCACAATAAATTGTCACGCTGAAATTCTTAGCCACGTCTGTCAATGACAAGGCAGAGTTATTGATTTCCACTGCTGGTACACCAGCCAAGAAATAAGCAGGAGTTATTTACAGGTCACATCCATATTCTTTGTTTGCAAAAAAAGCATTCAATCCCAGCTGCAAGACCGCTACTTTCTTTTGTCTGTACTACTCTTCAGTTTACCTTATACCTCAATTTGTTTCTCTGCTCCGTAAGGCAAGCTGAAGTTTAGAATAACCAAACAAAAATATTTGATGAAGACAAAGTTAATTTTTAACGCGATTCCTACCTCCTCATACTATTGCTGTACAGACTAACAGGCTCCTTATGTATACTGGAACTGCGCTGCCTGATCCAGCTGCTGTCCGTGTGTAGAGATGTTCTCTTCCTCATTTCCTGAAGGATTTGCTGTCTCTCCAACTCTGCCGCAGAGAGGTTCTGCTCCTTCTGAGATTTCTTCTGCGATTCACCCGTGTTCCAGGACCTCTCTGAATGCTTGCTCTGAGTACCTATTTGGACAACATGTGCAAACTTAAGCTTCACCTTAAGGCACAAAAGCAGGTATCACGCATCCAGTACTCCAGCTACAACTCCAAAAGCAGTCATTCATCACCACATTCACAAGTTTCTCCAGTTCGTTTTTGCAGTGGGGTGACCAGTATCAAACTGGGCAATACATCATTATTAATACCTTTTTTTTGATTCGTGTTTCCATTAATGTGGCCTTTGACATTATATTTAACTTAAATACAAGTAGGTGTTTCCCTTCACTTCCCAAGTGCATGTGAATACACATTTGTGTGTACTCATATATGTACACACATACCTGCTTTTTTAAAAGGGCACAATCTCTTTTAGTGCCACAATTTGGACTCTTCTTCCAATACAAACTGAAGCATGTATGGAATATACAATTGAACAATGGGGCACCTTCTTTCTCTTTAGGAGTTCATATTCTCTCCCCTGTTTTCAAGAATTCTTTCCTTATTCAAGGCACTAAACACATTGCTTTATATGAATATATTGGAGGGACGAGGGAGGGTTGGGGCAGGGGGGAGACAGAGTGTGCAACCTTATGGCCTTTGAAATTTTAGAAGGGGAAATAAACAAGCCATCGTTCTCCAATATGTGTTCACATGTTAGAAAGCAACAACTTTTCCTTTATTTCCTAGATCCAGTAACTACTTTTTGCAGTAAGATTAATTAAGAAAATTACTCAGCAATAAGTCATTCAATTGAAATTTCAATCCCTGTAAACACTGCTCTGACTAGATTTGCTCTTTGTTTTATTGCTATAGATTACCATTACAAATTATTGTGGAAGTTTACTCGCTCATTAGTTTCAACAACCAAGCATTAATGTGTGAAAGCAGTATTGTCAATCTGCAATATTTCCTCTAATACACCTTTTACATTTCTATGATTACTTCGGATTACTCTTTTTAATCATATTTTAGACACAGGAATAGTTTTTGGGCATTTTCCACTGTAACATATTCATAAAACTGGTTGGTTTGTTTGACACACATTCCTCTAAAAATGCAGCAATGTAACTGAAAAGAAAAGCAGCCATGGAGTCCAGGAGACAAGCCACTGTGACAGTATTGAGAGCTGACTTCTAGCTGTGTTATTCCTACACTAACAGAAGTTTAAAAGAGCAAACAGTTGGAATAAATACATTAGCATCTTGGTATGTGCAGCTTTTTTTTACTGACAGAGTCAACATGTCAATAGCACATATATCTTTGATGATATACCTACATGATTGGTTTAATCTCGGTCGTCTAAAATTTCAGCATCTGGGATCTGTTTGTAATCACTGCTATGGCACTTCAAGAGCAGTTAATCATATTTTTCCTAAGCTTATACGTTACTGTATGAATTTCCTCTCACTGTTAAAACTTATTTAAATCGTGGCATGGTATGAAGTTGAACTACAATGCGGCTATCAAAAAGCACTTCAACAATTAATTTTCTTAGGATGACTATCTTCGTAACACCTTCTTTTAAAAAAAATACATTTTTAAAATAAGGGAAATTAAACAGTACTTACCATTTCTGATTGTGTTGAATTCATTCAGTTCTGAAGTTGACTTGGACTTATTCCTAAGGATATAAAAAACATTCATTTCTCTGTCTCAACCAGGAGACCTCATCAGAGACAAAGATCTTATCATTGCAAACCAGAGATACACAGCCCCCTTTTTCACCATCCCTCCCGTCAACAACTTATGCTGTACTTAAAACAAGAGGCAAAAACACCCAAACAAAGATCAACAGGATAGCATCCTGTTGATATCAATATTTAGAAGTCAATAGGCAATCACTGATGAAAAGTTAAAATTGTGTATTGAAAGTTCCCAGTGCTTCAAGGAACTGAGCATTGTATTTGCTTCAAAAAAAAACCATGTACAAACCAAAGTCCTTCCCTGTGGAAGCTTTATGAAGACCACAGTCAGACAGTCAAAGAAGTGACAACTTTCAAAGCAGGATTATACATGATTTAATTTTATAAGAAACTTACATCATACTTCAGCCCTTTTGCTAGACCATAAGCAAAACACCTCCTCAAAATGCAGATTGTTCTCGAGAAATTTATTATTCACAGATTATACCCGGCAGCATAATTTTTAAATGAATTCTAGCCAAGAAATGTCATTTCATATACAGGAAGACAAATGGCAAAAAGCTGGTTTTCTGACAGTAAAGAGTAGGAGCTTCAGCAACACCTCTGTGCTGTATTATTAGGTTCAAGTAATACAGCCAGTTTTTTAGTTTAAAATACTTTGGAAAAGAACAGAAATCTTTTGCTGGGTCACAGCTCAAAGCTGCTACATTAATGTGTTTACAGGTACAGCATTGGCTGCATAACAGCATTTTGAGGGAGCCTTGTCCTTTCTCTGTAAATAAACGATGCATAAACTGCATCGCATTTCTTGCTCCCCCAAATTCTGATTGTCTGTCCTATGGTGCAGACCTACTTTATTGTGTGTTTGAGAGGATGCAACAATTTCAGAGTTGCTTGTAGTAAAAAGGAGCTCCAAAGAGCAGGTCAGCCTTGCCTGGGATGCTTTTAGCACCTGAGTGCCCTCCTCTCACATATAGGCAAGATGTCACTATTTAGTGCAGGCACCTTCTGAAGTTGGATTTAGATCTTCCATTAGCTGTACCCTATAAGCTTCAGGGTTCCTCTTAATATAAAAAAAGGTATGCTCACACCAACTATAAGATCTGATTGAATATGCAAGAGAAGTGATCTTGTAGAACTACCGAGGGATGCCATCCAAGAGAAAGGCTTGATACAAATGTTCTAGATTTAGGTTATTTCAGTAGTTTTTAACCATAGCCTAGAAAAAGGTGTCTATTCAAAGAGCCCAAATCTGCAGTGGCTGATATATTCTATTGAAATAGAAAACAAACCAAACCAAGCAAACAACAATAAAACTCCCAAACAACCAAGCAAACCCAAATAGAAAATAGCCAACGTAAGAGAGAGTGACTTAACAAGTGACACATCTACTATCTTCCTGATAAATACACTGCTGCTGCCTCTCATTTCCCTCCCTGTTTACTCTCTCCTAAATTGCACAATCCTGATTGGGATGACTGCACCTTAGTTTGTAAAGCACATTATGACACAATCACAATACTATCTGAAATTGTTTGCCAGCCAGATGAGTCTAGTACCACCCACATATTTACTGCCTTATAGTTCTGCTTCTCCCAGTAAAACCCTACTGACTGACTAACCGTTGTTTACGGCACCGCATAATAAATTGCCAAAAAGTTTGACTGCTTATTTTCTCAAGATGAAGGCATGCCTTAAAAACTGCAAAACACAGCAGCAATATAACATATACGCTGAGCTGCCATGGCTAAAGTTTGTTGACAGATTCCAAGCTCTCTGATGCAGAAATGGTGATGTTACAGTCTATGCTGAGATTCAGTATCACGCATACCTGTCAGCAAATGACTGCTCAGGTTGCTCCGCAATGGTTTTTGAGACTTCATAACGTTCATAATGCCTATTAAAAAAAACCCAAAACATTATGTTCATATAGAGATAAAGACACACATAGACATAAATATTTCCTACTAAAAATACACAAAACAGATCCTTAGGAGGACAAAAAAAAGGGAAAAAGAAGCCCACCACCCCACCCAACATTTAAAGTTCTAAGGAGGCTTAATTTTAGTCAGAAATACTACTAACAAAATAAAGCAGAAAAAGATTGTTCTAAAACCTGCCTGAAATTACATTTTTGTAAGTGACAAGGAATCTAAGCCTGAGCATACCAAAATGGTTAATACTTATTGCTGAATATGTTTTAGCCTACCTCTTGATTCCATTTCTTATTACCTGTCAATGAGAGGATGGCCAGCTCGATCCTCTATTGTTTTAGACACCTCATAGCGCTCATAATGTCTAGAAGCAAAATACAGACAAAATACATATTAAATGCAAAATCAACGTTTTCTAGAAATGAGCAAACAATAAGTATACATACAGAAAAATGAGACAGTTCAGATATTTTATTTAGAAACGTGAAAATACATGAGAAAACAACCCCGAAGACTTTTTTTAAGATGCTGCAAAATTGCAATTATCAGTATATGGCAGTGATTAACTCATCCATTTCAAAGCTTGGCCCAAACACAGCATGCAGTTCTCCAAAAGCTACATGTATATTCTAGCAGACTGTGACGGTGCTGTTGGTAACCCACAGAGAAGCACTAACTTCCACTGACAAAGTTCTTCCAGCTGCCTATCTCCCACCTCAGCCCTCTTTGTAGCAAGTATCAGGCCTTCACAGATGTTTATATAACATTTCAGATTTCAAGTCGTATCTTTGGATATCATCATAAAGCAAACATTTAACGCTAGATATTTTAAATCCCAGTTTCACTGAACTTGTTCCCTTACGATTAAGCAAAGCCACCCTTGTTTAGCAAAACATATCCCTTGGCAGCAACCTCAGAAGCGATGAAATCCCCTGAGACACAAGCACATATCAAGGATTTAGATATGCAGATACTGCACAGCTTAGTAAGTTACCGCACAAAGTCCTATTATCTTGCAATTGGGGCAAGCTAAAACTTTAGAGATAGCCCGGCTCAGCTGCCAAGAAGAACCTGTTTAGCCATGGTATCAACTGTGCCGCTGCTTGGCTCAGCAGGCATCACAAGCAGCAGTCATTTACAATGAGCTAATGTAACTCCAGGTCTCACAATCTCCCCTGCAAACATACGCAACTTTATAATCATATTTTCTTCTCCTAGGACTTAACTTGATACCATGTGTTATCTTCAGTCATCTCTTATTACTTGTATAAGAAAAGGGGAAAATCCTCAAGAGAAACAGCAAAGCTAGTCATACACAAGGCAGTAAGCCAAATGCACATGAAATAAGGAAAAGTTACTGTTTTAATCTGTTTCAGACAGATGTCTGTAATAGTAGTCTGAAAACTTCTGGGCACTTGTAAATTAATAGTTGGGAGCGGGGGAGGTTGCTTGTTTGGTGGTTTTTTTTATAAAAACTAAAAATCAAGCTGCTGAAGAAAAGATTAGAAGAAACCTTTTCATCCTCTAGGATCCACAAGGGGTACTTCTAAACAGGCTATGCTACCTAAGCCAGTATCTGTTCATTCATATACCATATACCATGATACCATGGACAAATTAACCCAGTGGTGCAATTGAACTTTATCGTTACACTGTTGAACTAAAATGAGAGAGGAGTCCAGAAAGTCAGTCACATGTTTGTTGGAGAAGAGTTAAATTGGCATTTCTTCTGAAAGCACCGTATGGTGAGCCACTGGCTCTCAAATTACAAGTTTATGCAGGGTTGTTATAAAATCTTCACACTCAAGTGCTTCAGGTCATCTTTGATTTGGCTGTAATTACTGTGTTTACACTTCCTATTTAAAAAACGAGCTGAAGTGCGTTAATAGAGCACTTGATTCAAGGGGAAAGACTTTGTCTTATGCCTGATTCTTCTGCCTTCAAAAAGAAAGGCTGTCCTGTGGCATCTTGCACTGACTGATTAATATTACATGAATAGAATCACAAAATGGTTAGAATTGGAAAGGACCTTAAAGACCATCGAGTTCCAACCCCCCTGCCATGGGCAGGGACATCTCCCACCAGACGAGGTTGCTCAGAGCCCCATCCAGCCTGGCCTTGAACACTTCCAGGGATGGGGCATACAGAGCTTCTCTGGGCAACCTGTTCCAGTGTCTCACCACCCTCACAGTGAAGAACAGACTTATATATTCAGGACATATGCACTCCCTTTAGAAATGTAATTGAATTTTTAATGCAGAAGGAAGAGAGGGTACATCCCATCACAAGTGCACACCTTTTGTACTGAGGAGTCTCCACTGACACCTCCCTCTGCCGCCTCTGCTCCTCCATCTCCGCCTGCCGCCTCTGCTCCTCAGCCTGTTGCTGTTGCCTCTCTTTACGTTGCCTCTCAAGCTCCAGTTCTTGGAGTTCCCTTTCTTGCTCTAAACGCAGGGCTGCTTCTTCCTGGATCCTCTGTTCCTCCTGGAGCCTTCTCCTTTCTTCCTCCTCGTCCTGCAAGCGCGCCGCCAGCTCGCGTCCTCCATCTCCTTCTGGCTCCTCAGGAGTACCCGCTTCAGGGCTTGCCCTCCAGCTGGACACAGATGGAGCCCGTGGAGGGACAGACGTTACGTCTAAGGTTAGAACAGTCTGCTCCTGTAGCAAAGAAAATAAAATAAATCACATTATTAGGTAAGGGAGCTGTTTTATTAAACAGGTTGCTCACTCAGAAAAGTTCCTTTATTCTTTGAGGGAAGACTATATAAAAGGCATCCCAAACGCTTCCAACGCAAGACCCAGGGTGTACTTTGGTTTCATTTTTTGAGTGCCTGCTAGCACATTCTCCTAACACAAGAGCTTCATTCCACATGGCAGCCTTAGCGAGCACCACAGGCAGCGCGGCCACAACTATGTGAAACATTCCGCTTTCTGAAGTATCACTTACATTTCAAGACATCCCATCCCCACTTAAATATCCGTGGAAAACAAACGCTTTCACGATACCCAGCATCTGTCCCTACTGTTTTGACTTCGAAACCAGAGACGTACTTAAGAGCACATACACTAAGGTACGCGCTGCACATGTACATCAGACCAATGATTTTCACGTGAAGCATCATGAGGAGGAAACCACCATCCTCCTCCATTCTCCTACCATCTGGAAATGAAGCCTCAGACCTATCACCCTATGACTCTTCTCTCAGACATGAAAAAAGCTCTTTCAGTTGTCAAATATGATTTCACTGCAGAGAAAAAAATATTGTTTGTCTACTAAGGACTGGTCCATCCAAACTTCTAATGCTAAAATTATATTAAAGGGTTTACATTCTTGCACAGCAACGTCCTCTAACAGCTCAAAGAGCTTTCTTATTGAAGTCCTAAGCCTTAAATTACAGTCTTTGTGACTGTATAAACACAACTGATCTAGCTAGGATGCCTGAAGCAGCACTCCCATAGCAATAGACAACAGATATCTCAGACACCTCCCACACCCAGGAAAAAACCTGTTCATCTTCCCATAAGCAAGAGCCACAGAAGTGAGCATCTACAGAAACTACATGCATTCGGTATTTTGAAACACAGGATAGCAAATCTGAAGTTGATTTGATATGCAAATTTATCAGAGATGGGATGAACTGGTTGCCAGTACAAGCCAGGCCGTCACGAACATGCCTCATGATGAAGTACTGAAGCAGAATTCCAAGATGTGGCATCAGGAGGTAAATATACAGCAAAGGTAACCATTCCATTCTCATCACAGTAATCAACACACGCTATAAGCCTTTGCCAATATATTTCTGGTGTTAGTTACCTAACCAACCCATTAGGAAAAAAGTCAAATTCAACAGGTCTCAAAACATCCCATTTACTCTTTCCTTACCATTTTTGCAACCTCTTTCTACCACGTCACAGCCAACAATTATTTTTCAAAAATGAGAAGATAAATGCCATAGCAAAGTAAATTATGTCCCTCCTTGCATGCATTTACTAGCTAATAAAAAAGCTATCATGAAACCAAACAGTCAAAGGGGAAGCCATATTCATAGCCTACCTCATCAAAATACTTGGAGCTCTCTTTTTCTGCTTCTTGCTGAGCTCGTAACCATTCTTCCCTCAATTTTTCTTGTTCCCGTTTGTATTTTTCCTGTTTGATCAGATTGACATTAAACAGGCAAACAAGAAACATGGCATTTTTAATTGGGTTTAAAAGGTACTGCTGGTATTTAATGTGCTTTTTAACAAATCAGTACGGTAAAAATGTAATGGAGCTACACTAGGACATTATGTTGGCCACACGTGCATGAAATCCTGGCTCAGATACAATCCAAAGGAGTTCTGCAATTGATTTTGAAGAATCCAGGCTATTACATGCTTAGTCTCGTAACAACTGACCTCACATCTGTTATATTCCCCACACAGTTTAGTTCTCATTTGAACAAAAATCAGCTATCTAAGGTATTTTCTTGAAAGATGGAGTGATTATATTTAACTTGGAGTTGTGCATGTTAATATGGTAAACAGAAAGTCATCACTAAGTGAAATATGAAGCAGTAATTTGGTTTGAACAAGAACTCTTGGGCTTTTCGAAGCTTATCTAAACAAAACCCAATTTCTGGACCTCCAAACTTGTCCTATGACTGGATTTGATATGAAATCAATGTAATATCTTAAGGCATTACTCAAGATGCACAATAAATGTTTTGGTGGTTTTGTCAGTCACCATTTAGGTCTTGGGAAAAGCAAAATATTTAATGATGTCAAAAGTATTCCGTTAAGATACTGGAAATAAGCAAAGAAAGACTTTGCTTCCTTTTTTTGTTACTTGAAAATTCATTACTGGGATCATGGGGAAGAGAAAGAGCATTATTACTCTGGCCAAATTTACTACTTCTGGACTAAAAAAGGAGAAGCAAAGAAAAGAAAAACTATGGTAGAGGGCTGAGATAGCTCTCAAGAAATGGGAGCCAAGGTTTACATTCTTTAAAGGTATCTCTTTAGGCATCAAATGGAGCATCCAAACCATAACAGAAACCACAAATATGTTTAGGAAGGCACAGCTCTTGCCTTGCAGAGTTTGTAAGCTAAAAGGAATAGCAAAAAATAACACATCTGAAAAGTAACAGAGTCGCTAAGCTGTACTTTGACATCACAATTGAATGTACCAAACTTATTAAAAGGGCTCATGCAGAGTCAGCGATGTTCACTGATGTCTCCCCTATCCCAGGCTGTAGAAAACTATAATTTAATTTGCAGAGATGTGCCTTGTTGAATGTAATTGAATGGGCTTATGCTTTATTGAGAGCTGAGGTCTTTGCAGAGATGTGCACTTGTTTTTTGTGCTACTCTAAAATGACAAAGATTGCCCCTTCCCTCTGCAAGGCCTCCCTCCATCTCTAACAACCGCTTATCAAGGAGCCTGCACAGACTGTGGGACAAAGCGTTGTCTTTGGAGTCAGCTTCCAGGAGTCACTTAAGATGACAGTAACTCAGCCCCTTTCTCTAATACAGCTTTGAACTAACTCTCTGCCCATTGTCTCTGCGTGTTGTTTGTTTTGACCACTGTATTCTGCTGTGTTTTCACCATTTAGTTAAGTATTCCATAGAAATAGAGACAAAAAACTAGAATCTTGCGGCTCACTGAGGTTGTTTCCTGTAGTAGAGTCTTTAAATTTTGTTCTATTTCACGTGTGCCTTAAAGCATTACATTCACATTACAAGAAATAAATGAACCTACCACATCACTAGGAAAGATGTCTTCAGCCTTCTGAATCTAAGTAATATTCTAGAAGGTAGTTTTTGTTATTCTCATGCTAAGATCCCAGGAATTCTAGTTAAAAATCATTGCACCAGAGTATCACAAGAGCAGCAGAGTTTTAACCTTTTAGAGACTGAAGTCTTAACACAGCAAAGATCTAAACCTGAAAGCAATTAGCTTATGTGCAGATCATGCTAGATCATCTCCAAATCAGCGTTAACAACCCCATGCAGCGCTACAGGCTGGGGGAAGTGTGGCTGGAAAGCTGCCTGGAGGAAAGAGACCTGGGGGTTCTAATTGACAAACGGCTGAATATGAGCCGGCAGTGTGCCCAGGTGGCCAAGAAAGCCAATGGCATTCTGGCTCGTATCAAGAATAGTGTGACCAGCAGAAGTAGGGAGGTGATTATGCCCCTGTACTCGGCACTGGTGAGGCCACACCTCGAGTATTGTGTCCAGTTTTGGGCACCTCAATACAAGAGAGATATCGAGGTGCTGGAGCGAGTGCAGAGGAGGGCAACGAAACTAGTGAAGGGCCTAGAAGACAAATCATACGAAGAGCGGCTGAAGGAGCTGGGGCTGTTCAGTATGAGGAAGAGGAGGCTGAGGGGAGACCTCATCACTCTCTACAACTACTTGAAAGGACACTGTAGAGAGGTTGGGGCTGGTCTCTTCTCACAGGTAATTAACAATAGAACGAGAGGGAACGGCTTCAAGCTCCAACAGGGTAGGTTTAGATTGAACATTAGGAAGGAATTCTTCACAGAGAGAGTGGTCGGGCATTGGAACAGGCTGCCCAGGGAGGTGGTGGAGTCACCGTCCCTGGCTGTGTTTAAGGGACGTTTAGATGCGGTACTGAGGGATATGGTGTAGGGGAGGACTTTGTAGAGTAGGGTAGATGGTTGGACTCGATGATCCCAAGGGTCTCTTCCAACCTCAATGATTCTATGATTCTATGATTCTAAGGTGGTTTTGTGTTGGCAGGTCCAGCTACCTGACTCACAGAGGTTCTGGGAAGCAGGTTGATTCCACCCAATTAGCTGATTGCTAAATGACAGGATGCTAGCAGGCATCTAACCATGGCACTGGCCTGCCTTCTCTTCAACTCTGAATACAAGGTAGTATGGCTAATTGAAGGTAAAACTCATTCTAGAGACAATTTTCTTAAGCGGGGTGGGGGGGAACAAAACTCATCGAAAAGTGAAGACTATGGCCCCATAGGTCTTTGTTTATCCTTTAAATTCTGTTGCCTGTAAGAGCATACCAGCCTTGTGATGACTGCCCACTTCTGGCTGCAGTGAATACTCATAGTCTGGCTTTGATTTCATGAAGATCACTAATATATTGTCCTGTTTTTGCTGAATGATTACTATAGTGTGTAACTGTGCAGCCCAGCCAACGTATCTGGAAGTCCTCTTAGGCCATCAGTAAGAAGAGCTGCAGGAGTCACATGTTCCTTTTCTTCCCTTTCAGGGAAGAAATAGGGATTACCAGCCTATGATTATCAAAAGGAATTATACCTGCAATAGACGATCCTGCTCCTTTTGCCATTTTTCCTGTCGTTTTCGTTCTTCCTCTTGATCCCAAACCCGACGACTAGGAGCACTAATGGATGGAACTGGGAGCTAACATAGCACAAAAATGAAATCATATTATCTTCTTCCATGTAATCAACACATTATATTTTTTAAAAATTTTGTTTATTTTTGAAGTGAAGAAAGAAAAGCCACGACAAGCACTACAGCTTTATAGCGACAAGGACCTAAACTAGCCTTTTCTTTAAAGGAACAGGAAGCAACCATTCCACTACACATTAGAAAAAGTTAGTTGGTACTCTCAGATTTGATCACAATTTTAAAGCAGTATAGAAAGGAATAGAAAGCAGTGGGCTTCTTGAAAAGACCAGGATTATACAACTAATTAGCAGTTTGTACATACTACTTACATCAGGCATTGCAGGCTCAGGGCCTCCTGTGAGATTTGGAAGACAAAAACCAGAAATAATTAGAACCATACATACTCACTAGTGCAAGACTTGTGTAGATGTGGAAAGTCCGAGCTTCAGACTAATTTTTGCTTCCTTAGTAAGCCATGCTTGCATTTTGCCCTACTGAACCAACTTGAGGTCAGAATTCATTAGGTGCTTTCAGCTAATGTGCGCAATTGTTTAAAAGCTTTACATGCTTACAAATGCCATCAGCAATTGCTTGAATTAGCAGTGCATCTCCCACTGTGGCAACGCAGAGGCTCTTTGCTACACCTCTCCTATTATTACTGTTCTGCAACCCAACTGTTTAGCATGACCAATAACCAGAACGCTGCTCCAGGGTAGAGCAGCTACTCACCTACTGCCCTTGATGTGAATTAAGAGCAAGAGACATCCACAGGCAACTTCGCTACCACAAAACCATGTATCTTCCCCTTCCAACTGTCCTCCTTTCCCAGTCCCAAAAGCACACTTGAATGGGGTGAGCTTGTCACCATTCATCACAAACCTCATGCTGCTTGAAGGCTACCATGTTTGGTCTTATCTCGTGCCAAGATGATTATTAGAGAGATGTGTATTATGCCAATGTATTAAAAATCAAGAAAATGTGGAGAAGCACAAATTTAAGTATAATCCTTTCCCAAGCATCATCACTGTTTTTGTTTGTTGCTACCGTACTTGTTACTTAGCTCTCCAAATTTCAGTTTAAAAAAACCCAAAACCACGCATAAAAGCAATAAATTGCAAAAGTTTTCTCAAGTATAACCACATGAAGTGGAGAAAAGGTCGAATTTAGGATACAGAGGAGACGTAATGAGTCACACTGACTGGTGCCCAATCTATATGTGTGCAATTTTGTCTTCTTTATCAGATGGCAACAGCCACAGCGACAGCAGGCCAAACAAACTTGATCCCCTGTGATTGCGTCAGGAGATGTTAAAGGGAGGCACAGGTGGCACCTATCTTTGCTTTCCTTTTCTATCACCCCTGTAAACTTAGACTGGCCTGTCCAGGTTTAGAAAGAAGACTCTCTCATATTATTGTAAAGCTAGTGTCAAAAGTTAAAATGAGCAAAACTGTACTGAACGTACACTCTAGAAATACACCCTTCTCCTCCCCTCAAGCACAAGTGAAATACTTCAATATTGCTATAATATTTATGAAAATAAAAACCAAACTTCACAGCCGGCCTTTTAAAAAAAAAAACAACAAAAAACAAAACCCACAAACCAAATAAAAAAAAACCAACAACAAAATACCACCATATTACAGATACAATGCAGCAGAAGTATTTCAAAGCTAACAGAACCACAAACACAGATGTATGCTGTGGCACTTGACATATCCATTCTGGAAAAAACAGAAGCCATCACCACCAAAGCCAAAGTCCTGGCTCCACTAAAATCATTAGCAAATTCACGCTGAACTTCCAGTGGGCCAGAATTTCACTGTTTCAGGCTACAGCAAAACAGCAAGGCATACATAGTCTGAAGACAGCGTTAGACATACAACATTAGTGGAAGTATGTGAGTTGTGACATGCAAAACACCAAAAAGCAACCTACAAAACCAAAATTGAGTGCCTTATTTTTTGCCTTTAAAAGCTAACATATTCAATTCAAAATTTACATTGGTCATCTTGGGTTCTTGCGACATCACCACATAGTGGAAAACCAGCAGCTGCCTTTTTTCACCAATTTAGATGAAAGCACAGAGCTGCAACTAAAGACAAACTCAAATCCAGAGTTAAGTATTTTATCAGCAGCTCTGAGATTTGCACTAAGCCTCTGCTGGAATATTCAACATTATTCTTGTTTTGTAGGTAGTAGCAAACCTGAACAGAGTGCACTATCCTTCTTACTCCTACCCAGTGAAAAAAAAAAAGTATGAACAACATAGAAGAGATTTAAACAGCTATAGATATAAGAGAACACACAAAGACCCATTACCACAAAGGTAGACCCATGAATTGTAAGAATAACCTGATGACCCTGGGGAAAGAAGGGAAATTAATTATGTTGCTTCCTTGTAACTGCAACAAACAACTCTGAAGAGGTATAGTACCCAGCACCAGACTTGTTAGAAAGAGTGTGCAGCAGGAACAATTTCATGGAAGTACATGAAATGTTAGCACTTTGGTTTACCTTGTTCAAAAAATTGTGACCGCCTTTTTAAGTTTTTCAAATAAATAGGTTCAGATGCTATTTGAAAAATACAAAGAATACAAACAAGTCAATGAGGTGCTGTCTTTTTTTTTTTTTTTTTCTTGTAAATGACTATCACCACTGGATAACAAACGTTAGGCCTCCAATCTACAGTAACATCGCTTTAGAAAAATAAGAAGTCCCTGAAACACAAAGGAAATCTAATCCTTCATAGTAAAAAATACAGTTTTTAGTAGGTTACATCATATCCTGATTAGTATTTAATTTTATCGCTAACAATGTTGAACTAACAACAGCACACGTGTCAAGAATTTGGATTCAGATTCTCACTGTCTAATTTAACCCACTCTGACTGAAATGCCAAATTGGATTGAGAAGCCTAATCACCATTTAAGGTCATTGGAAAGGCATCTCCAGAGGGCAAATGATCTCTTGGGGAAACTCTTTTATAAATCGCCATGCACATTCAAGATAAAATGCAATACAAAGTTCCCATTTAAGGATTACTGTTCCATTAGGAAGTCTACGTACCTGGTTTCTCTCGCTGTCATCAAGTAAGGCTATAACTGTTCACAGCATTGTAAGTAACTATTATTCATACCAGAACCATCAACATTGTTCTCCAGGAACAAAAGTAAAATAATAATAGCAAAAAAATATCCCCGAAACCTCACAACCGAAATAAGGGAAAAATGAAATAAAATTGCATACTCTTTACACAATTCCTGGACACTGAAATAAATTGATACTTATACCAACTCAGTCTCCACACAAAGCAGTGGCAATTACAATAAACTGTATGTCTTCTCCTTCTCTTTCATCCCTACCACACAGTGAATTTACAACCACTAATGCTGAGACAGGGGTGGTTGTCACTGCTTTGTTGTCAGTTCTCTAACTGCTCAGCACGCCGTGGAAGCAAACTACACCCAGTTGGGATGCAACTAGATCTCTGTGATACCTGTCTAGCTGTCAGTTCATTAAGGTCTCGCTTTGCCCACTGTATAAAGCTTACGATGGTTACGGGTTTAGTGCCTACGATTGTTCCAAACCCACACAAATAACAGATGAACAGCAATGGTAGTTTACCTCTTTGTTCGCTAGAGCTGAGATCTCCTTGCACTCCATTTATCAAATTTGTTTCTGTTTCCTGAAAAAAAAAAAGCAAACAAAAAACAATCCAAAATAAAGGTCTCAGGTTCATTAGATTTGTGGAAGTTTATCCAATTACATGTCTCCCCTGAGAGGAGCTGTATATCATGAAACATTGCAGAACACTTTCCATGGAAAGATACAAAACTATCTAAAACTTTCTGAGTGCATTATATGATAAAATGACTGCAGGCATTTGAGGGGATCAATAACCAGCAGTGAACTGGTGGTTGAAATAAAAACCATTAATTTGCAAGAAAATGCCAGAAGCCAAGATCTGCCTATTTCAGCTCACTCTCAGGGAGGGAGTTAATTTACAAGGTTAATTGCCCTTGTTCTTTGGGGCTGAAACTTTCATTTACACTAATAATGGTGATAGAAGTCTTTTCCAAAGAATCAACACTCTACATATTTTAGTTAAAATATAGGCTACAAATATTTTAATACTTAGCAGTGTCCACTGCTGTACTGAATTGACAGTAACAAGTCTTTAAAACACCTTATTTACCTTAATAAGTACATGGCTACATCTCTGTATTTGCAATATCCTGTATGATCCTTAAGCAATACAAGTAAAAATAAGATTTCCAAGGTCTTTTCTCCATCCTTCCCCTACCAAGGCATTGCATTTTTACTTTCTTCCTCCCCTCAAATCCCATGACCCTTCAAAATCATACTCACAGAACTTTGAAGGCTGCTGGAGAAATCTCTTTTTGTCGATATGGTGGAAACATTTGAAACATGTTCTCCAGAAGTTGCATCAATCCATTTATTTTCAGGTGTACCTATAATGTTGGTAGCCATACTGGTGAGATTGAGGATTTTATGCCTTACTTGTGGCAGGGAAGGCTGGTCTTTGCCCCAATCTTTTTGGTATGTGGAGGTTCAAGAAATTAATGTAGACAGTAATGTCAAAGAACAGAAAAAGAGTTAGTGAAAAAACATTAAAATAACACAAAAAAGCACATAACAGAAGAGGGAGACATACAAATCAGGTGGAATTTATGAAGACAGGAAAAAGGGCTTTTATGAGCAGACCGCCTTCCCCAAAAATGCAAGTGTTAGTCATAAGCCAGGTAAAAGTTTACCAGATGTTTTGCTAATATGGACTACAGCAGCTCAACATTACAGAGCAATTAGTATTCATTGGAAACTATTTCATTAGCATTAGTAAGGATTGAGAAAATTCTTCCACCTTTACTCACACAAGGTACAACTTGACTCATACACTATCCAGGTATTGTCATTTTCATGTCCATGCTCGTCAGGAAGCACAGAGGGCAAAAAAAAAAAGGCAGTCTAAACAAGCAAAAATGATGAGGTGAAGACAAATGATAATCTTCTATCGGACTCCATAATTTCTTCCTTCCCACTAAGTAAAATTTATTCAATGAGTTCTTCTCCACTAATCTCACTCTTCGTTTGTGCTAGGAGTTGCAATTTGTTTCTCCTCCCTGTAGGAGTTGTGATTTGTTTCTTATATCCTCCTCACCTCACTATTTTTTCCCTTAATTACTGGTAACTTATTCTACCTAGCTTCCCACTAAAATAATATTTTGTATTTATACTGTGAAAGAAGTCATTGGTCACACTTCCAACTCTGGAAATCTATTTTGGGACTTTGAAAGGATATCCTGATTAAACCCATGGCAAGTCTAGAGATGCTACAAGGCCTTCAGCCAGGATGGAAACCCTCACTAGCCAGAACGGGTAGCACCATCCCGGACAGATTAAAGCATCACAATATTGATGGTAAAAATGGCTGAAAATCATTCATCAATGGCAAAAACCATAGCACAGAGGAACTACATCAGCCACAAGCTCATATGCCACTGGAAACACTCCTTGAAGAAAGGAACAAAAGATCTACCTTCCTTGAAAAAAAGGGAGCTGCTCATGGAGGGAGAGAGGCTGTAAAAATTACCATCCTCTAGAGACCAGCCCCTCTTCATTTTTGTAGTATAGAAAGAAAGAAAATGTTAAATTCCCTTGTGTGGTGGTTGCACATTTTTTTTACCTGTGCATCCCCTCAGAAACAGGCCAGAGAGCAAGAGAGAGGTCAGTAGTTCAATGCTTTGTAGACTTGCTCGTCAAGATATTTCTAATGCACATGTAGTTAAAAAAAGCCAAGTTGTGTTAAAATGCAACAGGCACACTAGCAAACTACTTAGCTTAGATACATATTACTACTGTAAGGGTAATAAGGACTCTCAGCTGTCAGGAACAGCAGAGACAAAGCTTATTTGCCTTACAGAGCATACTGTATCTGCCCGACGAGACAACTCACCATTCTTTCCATATCGTCTGACATCCATGACCAGGTTTCCAGTTTCTAGTGCGCTGTTGATGGCGTCTTCCCACTCACTATAATCCATACGTGAAACCTTTGTGCCGTTGATAGCAATGATCTCATCATCTACACGCAGCTGACAAAGTGCTGCAGGGCTACCTGCAGAAAACAGAAGAAAAATAAAATTACGTCTCCATTCACAATTATTTTTTTACCGCATTTGTGACTGGGGAGGTAGGGGTCGGGGGGGTAAGTGATTCACAGAAATGCTTATTGGTGGATATTCAGAAAGTCTTAAAAAAATAAAAAAGATCTATTACACTGTAGTATAAGGTCAGTAAACTCAGTTAATATCGAAGAAGTGTTTCAATTTGAAACTTATGGAAATGACAAAGAAGATTTGAACTTGCAAGCATTCACATTCTGGCTATCTTGTTTAATGAACAATCTCTGGGCCCACTCTTCCTTTCGCAAACTCACCTTTATAACCTGCCATAGTGAGAGAGAGGCAGCACCACAGTGTTTGTAGCCAATAATTAGCTGAAATTCAGCCAATGTTTGGGTAATCCTCTTATTTGCAAAAAAAAAAAACCAAAAAAAAAAAACCCAAAAAAAAAAAACCCACCAAAAAAAACCCCCAGCCTCTGCTTTGTTAATTCTGGTAGAAGCTTGCTTTCTCATATTCTTATTTACATTTTCTGGGCTCTACTGGCAAGAACATGCTGCTTTATTGCTTTAGTGCTAAAAACAGTTTGTTAGCTCTGAATTGGACTCAAGATATTGCTGGGTGCTGTCCCATTAGACTTCTTTGGATTCTACTTATTTTATCCGTTAAGAGCAAATGTTATTGCAGCTTGGACTTTGAATTCTATTGATACTTTGCAAGACAGGCTGCACTTTATACTCTTTTCATCTGCTACTAAATATTGGCAAGTGATCTCACTAGCCTAAGGACAGAGAACATACACGACCAAACAATAAACTTTTTTTCTGTTTAATTCAGAAAATGGACGAGCTGAAAAACTCACACTTGTCAAAGATTGATTTTATGAATTATATCTAAATGGTTCTTCCATTAACAATTATTCCCTTAGCAAAATATAAAATGGAAAAGCTAAGTGAAAACCTAGTTAAAGGTTGCACAATAAATCCTCGTGCTAATAAAATAAAACAAATTTGAATGACACAACGAAAGCGTTTTCCAAAACAAGTAGTGAAAGTGTTTAAAATATACCAAGACCAATGCTCTATTACATTATCAGAAACGAAAGTGGACAAGCATGATAGAAGAATTTAGACACTGTATGTTTCATCCTGACCTTCTTCTGACTCACTAGTAAAGTGCTGCTAGAAGTCTGGATCATCCACTAAGGATTTAAGTAGCTTTTAATATTACTGGCACCCCAGGAAGTTAAAAAAGAAATAAATGTTATGTTTCCTAATACTGCACTAACCAATGATCCATCAGAGTTCACCAAAAAACACCACTAACTACTATGTGAAAGAGTATAGCTCCATATTCCATTTTTCCACTTTCTTCTTAAAGTATGGACTAAAAACTCCATTAATAGCTCTCAGTAAAATCTTCAAAACACATCAGTTAGCTTCTATAATATTGCTTACAAGTAAGGTAGGATTTTCATTGGGAGGAAGAAAACATGGGTGATATTAAACTGGAAAAAATGTGTATGTCCTTGAAGCCAGGAAGATGTTAAAGAATGAATAGATTTTTCAAAGCTATTAATGGAAGGTACTATTAAGGTACTATTGAAGATATGATCAATGTAGTTACTATTTTCAACACCACCATGTAACATCTGGAATTGTGTCTGATTTAAAAAAAAAAAAAAAAAATCTAAGATCTTTAGTACAATACAGTTTGACAACATGTAGACTGAACTTTATGCTTATGGTGCAGGGAATGCTTTAGGCTCAAGAAAATCCATCAGAACCAATAATTTCCCTATTCCCTGTGACAGAATGAGCCCTGGGAACTCAAAAAGGTGGTGTTCATTTTACTCAGATAATTTGATTGGGATGAGACCAAGTTCAGAGGCGAGAACAGTACCTCAGCTCAGTTACATTACGCACGTGAGGGAAAAAGTGAATTACCAATTCAGGTTTTAGGGAAGGAAGGAAATTTAAGATTGCACAGCTCCTCTTATAACATTACCAGAAAAATGCATCCTGACCATACGGATTTGAATTAATAGCAGCAGTCTCTAGATTGCACATATAGACCTAACACAGCCAACACAACTTGCACCCCTCTTTCTTTTATTTTAAATGTTTTGTAACACAAGCCTACAAGTGTAAGAAATTTGAGAAAAATAAACCCCCAAATAGGTCTTCATGGAATTTGTGGAACATACTGCCTCCTGAGAGAGCATCACTCAATTTCTGGCATGTAACTTTGCCAGCTGCTCTTCCTCCACTGCCTCTACAGTATGTGAATAAAAGGGCTTCTCGAGAGCCCAAATTAAGGTGCCTATATTTGGCTTCTGCTCTGATTCACCTCCAGAGAAGTCTACAGAGCTGGCAATTCAGATGCCAAAAGCTGCAAGGTGCTGCTTGACTTTGTCTAGTTCCTTCAAGATTATAGTATTTACTGATAATTTCTCTATACCTCTAATCCTCTCTATATAGGGGATTTAGTTTACATTAAATAAAACAGATATTCCTGTTTTTCATACATTTCCCTGAATGGGATTTAGTTATCTCTAACCTATCCTCATCTGTTGTTATTACAACAGACAAATACTACCTCAGAGTCACACAGAAAACCCTAAAACTTGGAGCAGGTGGGTCAAATTTACTTTGCCCTGCACGCCTACAGGTGTTTGAGCAAACACATATCAACACAATATCAAAGAACAATTGCAGATACGGTAGGTGAAAGGGGAAGGATTGAAACAATAAAGATTATATGACACTGAGAAGTTGGCAGAATGTCTAGATTAGCAACTTTAAGGCTTCCTGTACTGAATTTTTAGTATAAAAGTTGAAAATTCCTGTTTAAAAAAAAAAGGAAAAAAGCACTATCTTCTTTTATATGCAGTAAATGGGTCTCACTGAAACATGTGTTACAAGCTTAACTCTTACTAAGCTTTTTGGGAACACTTGTAAGAAGTTAATTTTGCTTACCAAGATGTTTTCTTAAAAATTTTTTGAAGCAAAAGCATATGTAGAATACAGATTTATTTATAAGTAGTAAAAAGATAAATGCAGGTTATCTACTGAAGAAAATTATATAGCTAGTTAGGATTACAAGCATGTCAAGACAATCAGAGAAAGTCTTCCTGGAAGCCACTTCTGGGCTCAGAACTGAGAAGAAGGTGACTGGGAACAGGTGGTACGGATTTGCAAGACTAAACCATGCTTGAAGAACCTGGATGTCTTCAACGATGAAATGACTAGATATGTGGATGAAGAGAGAGAATTGGATAACATCCACTTTGTCTTTAATAAGGATTTGAGATGATCTTCCACAGTATCCAGGTATTAAAGTTGGGATGGCATTATCTACAGGGCAGGACGACCAGATGGGTGAAAAAGCAGCTGGGCTGTCAGGCTCTCTGGGTGTCCTGGGGCCCATCCTCTCTAACGTGTTTGCCAATAACCAGGAGGAGGCAAAACACACCCTCATCAAGTTTGCAAACCATGCCAAAAGGGAGAGGGTGGCTGATAACACTGGAGGACAGGTCTGCCATTCAGAGCAGGAACCTGGCATTCAACAAGAACAAATGCAGAGTCCTTCTCCTGGGATGGACTAACCCCAGTGATGGTACAGGCTGGGGACTGATTGGCTGGAGAGCAGGGCTGGGGACACCCTGGCAGTGGTGGGGCTGTATGAATACTAGCATGACCAGCAGCTTGAGGGAAGTGACTATCCTGTTCACTCAGCGCTTGTGATGCCACATGGACAATATCGTGCCCAGTTTTGGTGTCCCACTGTAAGAGAGACATAATAAACTGGGGCAAGTTTCATGGGAATCCACTGGTATGGGCAGGGCCGGAGCACTTGTCCTACAAGGAGAAGCTGACGGGTATGGGCTTCTTCAGCCTGGAGAAGAAAAGCTGCAGGGGAATTTAACAGCAGTTAGATTATACTAAGATATAGGCCATTCTTCATTCAGCCTTTATACTTTGCACCCTTACTTGTGAGAATGGTAATAAAGCATGACCAAGATAACAGCCACAAGGCCTTCGTCTTCTCCTTGCCTACAGAGCTGGGGGTAGAGCCCAGGTGGACCTTTACGAATGACCAGGAGGAACATTCACCACCCTCAGATTTCTCATCTACAGCTGGCAGTGCAAAGACAGAGTCCTCTGCCTCCAAGTAACAAAATTAAACCAGAAGCCTAGCAGCAGCGAAAGCAAATGGGAAGTTATTCTTCATGCAAAGGGAATATTAATGGTTACAATCTAATTATGAGAAGTACCCAGCTATAGTGAAGAGAGGTTTAAAAACTGAATTTCAAATGAAAAAAACCAAATCAAATAAAATCAAGGATGCTCAGTAAGTGCTGTTAAGTGATGTTTTTTCCAAAAAAAATAAATCAAATAAAATCAAGGATGCTCAGTAAGTGCTGTTAAGTGATGTTTTTTCCTCTCTGGAAAGCACAGTGAAGGGCTAACTAAATGAGAAGTTTCCAGTTATTTCTCCTTTCTCAGGATAATCTTGTGTTAGCTGCAAGAAAGGGCACAATTCAGTATTCCTCAAATATTACTGGCAATGGGAAAGATCACTGTTAAGAAAACAAGCATTACATGTGATTTGCTGGGGGTTTTTTTGTTGTGCTTTTTGCATTTTTTTTTAGTTAAGAAAACCAAGCTTGTTCTCTGCAAAAAAGTACTAAAGCTTAGAAATAAACTTTAAGTGTTTCATTTAAAGACAAAAATGTTTACTTTTCCTCAGTATTAACACATCTGAAGAAACTGCACTGGAAATCAATTTAGATGTTTTAACTGCTTAAAAATATTAACTGTCTACAAAATTCAACATTACTAAGAAAGGGGAAATTGAAATAAAAATACTACATTCTAAGTTTCCTCTGCACATGTTTACAAACCATATGAAATGAAATCTTTCAAACTTAGCTGAAATGAACAATCTGGATATTAGAAGTCTGTATGTACCCCTTACTATCATTCTGTAAGGGACTTGGTGAATGTTTGAGTAATCACACTTACGCCTTTTCAGTGGTAATAGAAATGTCTTTGATTAGGAAAATGCATTTTTGGTATTTATTAATTCAACCTGTTTCAAGATATGAGGATTCACGGAAATACATTAGCAAGCTAAATACTGATTTTTCAATTCTCTACATAATTTTTTATAATATTTGCAGCATTCTTAACAGCAAATGCTTTAATTTAAAGCCTCTGCAAACTAAACATAAAGAAAAAAAAATTGTGCAGCGAATAGGCATTTACCTTCTTCAATTGTCTGTACAAAGGCCCCTGAAGGACTCCAGTTTGTTGTAAACCCAAAGCTGCGACTGTGGCCAGGTCTCTTAAATTGTGTGGTGAATAGGCATTTACCTTCTTCAATTGTCTGTACAAAGGCCCCTGAAGGACTCCAGTTTGTTGTAAACCCAAAGCTGCGACTGTGGCCAGGTCTCTGGTTTATACTGATTCTCATTTCACTGTACTGTACCTGAAAAATAAAACATGACACTACAGTATCTGGTATCACAGGAATCTAAATGAGGGAAAGTTTATCCTCTAAATAAGTGAGGCTGCTCACAATGTCCACTTTAATCATCTATTATTAGCATCACAGAAAAGGAAACAGCATTGAAGTCAGTTAACTAACTCATTTGTTTTCTATTAAAGAGGTATGTTTTCAGTTTACATTTATATTTTCTCGACACAAATATTTAACTGTGCATTTCTTTTATTTTAAATGTTTTGTAACACAAGCCTACAAGTGTAAGAAATTTGAGAAAAATAAACCCCCAAATAGGTCTTCATGGAATTTGTGGAACATACTGCCTCCTGAGAGAGCATCACTCAAACAGAGAAGTGAAAAAGCTAGATAACAGTAATAAGTCTTATTTTTTTTCTTGCACATCCTACATTGGGTATCGTAAGTTTCCTTTAGGCTCAATGATGCAACTAGGTTCACTTGGGTGAAGAATCATGTTTTTAATTTCATGTGAAATACTACTAGCTTGCTATGGATTTTGCAATGGAGACCTTAGCTGACACAACTAATCCAGAATTAGCTAGAATCCAGATCTTCCATTCTAGTGGACTTCCATGATGCTTTCAAAATCAGAATCAAAACCTAACATTACCATTTTAAACTAAAGAAATATTTTATTAGGAAAAAGTTTTGTAACACTTCCTTTCACTCCCACGCTATACTATGAACATGCGTTACATATATTAACATTTTAATGTGAACTCATTAAAAAACAATTAAAATACCCAAATGTAGGCCATTCACTTCGTTATCATGGAACTAACATTGTTACAAAAGGAAAAAAGTATTATAGACTTTTTCTGTCAAACACTGTGCGTGGAGGAGACCCCCGCATGTGTACTAAATTTGGTGTCCTAAATGCACACCTACGTTTCAGTTGCCTAGCAAACCAGCTTTCCTGTAGGGTGGGATTCATTTTCCTCAACTTAAAATATTTAGAAGCTTAGGTATCTATGCCAATTCCCCAAAGCTCCTATGTTAGCAGGATGCACCAGGCAGCAACAGGGAGCAGATGGAGTTCGCCAGAGTCACCGGGCAGGATGCAGCCAGAGGAGGCTTCAGCAGTACCCCAGCGCTGGATGCAGAAGACAACAACATTGCAAAGCAACATCCTGAGGTTTCACCTCCTGTTACAGGAATGTTCCTGGCAAAACACTCCCTGTTACAGCCCAGGGTAGAAATTAAGTCCGTACTGCAAGACACAGCTTACCAGCTTGCAAATGCTCCTATAGAACCCAAGTCCTTAGGTGAGTAACAGTATATTAAAAGCAAATCCTACTAATAAATAGGTTAGCACACTGAGCCAGAGCATATAGAAAGCTTTTGAATTTGACTTGTGTTCCTGCAAATTACTGTTACTGTTTTTATTTTCCCTATCCTAACCCAGCTCTTCTTCAAACCTACCTCTTTTGTCATAGCAGTAATGCAACTTTGCAAACTGAACTTCACCATTGGGACAGGTCGTCTCCAAAGCACTGAGTACTCCACAAACCTGGTGTTATTGCCCTGCTGACTAGTGAACTATGCCAATCTCTCAACTCTGGCAATGATTTACAAACATGCCAAATGGAACTTGCATTCCTAAAGTTATAGCTTGTTTGAGGCATAACAAGCTTTTCTTTACAATTTTTTTTATTTATTTTAAAAACCCACATTACTCATCTGCAGGGAGGACAATTTATAATCTTCTAACTAATAACAGGAAAAAAAAATACAGACATAATACATTTTGTTCCCATTTGGCTCGCTTAAAGTGATACAAAGAACCCGTATCTAATCTATGTTTTCACTGATTAGAACAGCAATTCCTCTGTCTGTTTTTGCTACAAGAAAGGAAAAAAAAAAGATCACGATCTCTTTCTTTGTACAACAATCAGTGTTTCAAAAAGTTATGATAATTTAATTGAAATGGCCAAAGGGTATCAGGAGTATTAAACTGGAATGCATTCCTTTTCCACAAGTGATTAGGAAAAAGAATGTTTCCAAGTGATCAAATTTATAGAAAGCTGGTGTGGGAAGTGATTTCATGGATCAGCATCCAAAGTCTTATTATCCTCATCCAAGCAACTGGCACAATTAACTTTTACAGCAGCATCAGGAATGCAAAGAATTAATCTCTAATCTGTCACACATCATTAGATATTACAGAAAGGTATTGACAGTTAAAACCATTGTTGGTAGTTTTTCACATGTGATCGGTTGGAAGAAAAATATTCCAAAAGAACCACTGAAAGACTCAATTTCTGGATAAACATATACACAAAGAGATGGTGATTTGCTTTAAATTCACTAATGCGAACGTTAATTTGATTAATTTGAAGTAAATAACTTAAAAAAAAGGGGGGGGGGGAGGGAGGCTCAAGCCACAACAGAAGGAACAATTAATAGCGTGATACTAATATTTAAAGCCGGCCTTTAAAAAGCTGATCTTTATTTTCCACCACCAGTTTAGAAGTGCAAATGAATGCTACAGCAGCTCAGATCTAACTGACACACCTGACTGTGCACACAATGTGCTAATTTGGAGAATAGCAAAAACTTTTTAAGCATCAAACAATATTTAGAATAACTATTTTGAATTAGAATGAGAAATAAAATTAAGCACAAGGCATATAAAGGGCAAGTATAAAATGCACCAATTACTTTCTTTCCAAATATTCTCTTTTCCCTGAGATAGATCAAAGGAAATAGCAGTTCTCTGAGCTGTTTTCTTAGTACCAAAAAATATTTGCATTAGATGTGATTTTATTTATTTTTTCTTTTACTCAGCTGTAGCATTCAGTTACACTAAGTAATTATGTTATTTCCACACTTACCAGGGATTTTGAATCCTCGGGCTCCGGCAGACTCACATTTTCTGCAGAAGATGCAAGTGAAAGAGAATCAGGAGCAGAGCGATACTCTGGTTTAAGAATACTGCTTCCAGCATCTTGGTCTTGGGATTTTATAGGTAATGCCAAACTAGGAGGAGGTGTTGACTGAACACCTTCTTTTTCCTCCTCCTCACCTCTGCTTCCGAATGCACTAGTGGAGAGAGGGTGTGCAGAGTCTGGTTGTGAAAACGAACTGCTAGGGAACAAAGTTTGAGTTCTTTTAGCTTTTTCTACTTCTCCGTTGTATTTCTGGGTATCATCCATCTAGGAAAAAAAATGAGTTTGGTAAATATGTGCTCTAAAAAAAAACCACAAAAACTAACCACAAATCCCCAATCTTTCAGCAATCTAAACGTTTAATGAAAAAACCTTTCCCTTTCATGCAAATTCTGGTTCCTGTACCCATTACTAATTACCCACTTTAAAGAGCAGCAACATTTCTTTTTTTACTCTTGAAGTTCTTCCAGAATAAATGGTCCAGACTTCTTAAGAGAAACTTGTTAAAATCATCTGCTTCGAATGATTTGCATTCTTACCATTTTTAAAATTGAGACAAAGAGGAATTTAGGAGAAAGCTATGAAAATCAACATTGTAATCAGGGGGATCAATTTCTGTGTTTCAGTGTTTTACTGCACAGGCAAATTTTAGGCTAGCATAAAATTTCAATTTCAACAAAGTCAGCAGAGTAGAGGAAACTTTATCACCTGACAAATTTGTCTTTAACACTTAATTATGTTAACTTAGCTTCAGACTATTACTTCCAGCAAAGGCAGTTTTGATAAGAAACGCTAAGGAGACTTGCTACAAGTAATAAAAAGATTATTCTACCAAATATATTTATCAGGTTATTGCTAGGAGTGCCTTTAAGTACAGAAACACAAGTAAACATCCAAAGCCACGACAGAATTGCCTCCTCTATTAACACAGCCTTCAAAGAGCAGATGAGTTTTTAAAAAACAACAAATTTTAAAACCTCTACTGTCCCCCCAGCTATCCAAGACCTCAAAACTTGGGGAAAGAAGCGAAATTTTACCGTGAACGACCGTGGAAGTGACGAGATTCCTCTTGAGTGGGCACCAAAAGGTCTTGGTGTAACCACAGATGTTAACCTAGAGGTATCGGTTTTCTGGTAAGTTCTCGGGAGAGAAGCTGAAACCTGAGCTGACCCAGTTTGAGCATTCGCCGAGTAGCGGGTAGACAAAGGAGCCGAGCTCTGCTCCTCTGCCAGGCTCTTTGGTGGAGTGGGAGCTTCACGAGCAGCCGAGCTCTCCGGTGGGTTCTCCTTGCGCGGCCGGGCGGCATACGTGCTCTTGCTGTCCTTAGTGCTTTGGGAGGTATCTTCTTCCAGAAGGTAATCTTTTGCTGCTGACCGTGTGGAAGGTGCTTTTTCTTCAGTAAACACGTCGTCATTCACTGAATACGTCCACGTGCGTTCATGTTTTCGCTGCCTGTAGGAGTCTTGGTCTCTCTCCTCCCTATGGGGAACACCGGGCGTTATGACACCAGACAGAGTGACCTAACAAACAGGCGGGCACTACGTCTTTTGACTACTAAATGTCCAAGGCAGAGCAGAAACTAAGAAACAAACCTCCAAAAATGAATTGTGTCATTAAAAAAATATTTGTGTTTTGATATATTTTTTGATCTACCTTCTTCCCCCTCCTCTCTATTTCAACCCTCCCGTAACACTCAGGCATCCTACTGTCACACTATCAGGTTGCCACCATGACAGAAATCTCTTTGCCAAGAAAATGATACAGCTGTTCAAGTTACATATCCTCAGAAATTCAGATTTTTATTGAGGAAAGAATGGGGAGAAGGTAGTCCCGTAACTCTGCCTGAACCGTACAGCTCCACTGATGTCTCTGCTCTACGAAAATTCTATACTGAACTTCAGATAACAAAATAAGATAGTGTCCTGAAGTTCAGACTGTTTTTTTTTTTTCTACTATTCATGCCTTTCTCATAAAGGAACAACCACCACTGAGATAATCCTTACCATGTCATTTTTAAGATTCTGATGATACTAGATATTCAATACAATTAGCATCTGTAATTTATTCAAGAGACCATTCTTTGTCCTCACCAAAAAAAAGGTAAAAAAAATAAACTCAAAACATTCCGTTATAAGACTTATTTAATTTTCTTTTATGAATGCATGCCATGTGCCTATCCCCTTCATCTCAGTCATATATGCATTTAAAAAAAAATAATAATAAAGACTGTCACCAGCAGAAATGGTACTGTGCTACTCGGTTTACACTTTTTACTCTTCTGGGAGAAACTTGTTATGTAAACACCCAAAGGAACAATTGAGGATAGAGGGGAAATGAAGTGAAAGGTTACAGCTCTGTGATATACATTAAAATGCTGGCTGTATTTATCCACAGTGGCTAAAAGAATAGCAAATGGAGTGGTAGAGGAAAGAGAATTAGGTAAGTAGATCCAAGAATAAAAAAAAAAGGCAGTTATCCAGTTCAACACTATTGCTTTAACTGCTTTATAGTGGATGTAAATACTGACTTCTCAATACATTTATTATGGATAGCAGAGTAAACCATCATTTATGGAGAAAAACTGTTTAATATTCTGTGAAAACAATGCATTAGCAGACCGTATACCATCCCTCAATTGCCTAGATTTCTACACTATAATTTGCAATGAAAATTGTTGAGATCTCTGTAGAATCAATTGCAACTTGCCAGTAAAAGCTGCAATTCTTAAGAATTCAAGGGAATAAAAACGCTCAGATTTAAGTTCTTCAACATAATACTCCCATTAGGGTCATTACCTCTCCTGCTGCATTTCTTTCAGTGACTTGGTAGTCCTTTCAGACACCTCAGAGGCTCTCCTTTCTATTTCTTCTCTCTCTTCCTTTTTCTTTTGCAATTCAGAAGTGAAGCTCTTTCTACGGTTCTTCCATTTTGCCAGATCCTGTAAGAATAACGTGAATGTACACGGTTCAGATTTTCTCAAGACCTCGTAAATCTACAGAGGAATCCCATCACATGCCACCTACTGCCCTGATTTTATTTGCACATCTGCAGCGCGGCCACATTTTCATGTACCTTCCCCCTCAATGGTAAAGAGGTTCACAGATTTTAGTTTGGGTTACAGGCTCACTGCCTGTTAAAGTTAACAACTGTAATTACTGGATTACAAGTGGAAAAGCACATCTTGCCCTTTTTTTTTCTCCCATTAACATTTTCAATTTTGTTCTACAATACTTCGCCCAATGACACACAGTTGAAAACTAATGCAAATAACATCCGTATTTCTTCGTTGTAGGCTTTGGAGTTCGGGATTTATTATTATTTTTTCCAAATCACTACAAAGCTAGACTGATACATTAGCTTGAGAATAAACATGCCTTAAATTCTAAATTGAAAACATATATATTTTCTTCAGTTCTGTAAAACCACAATGTGAACTGGCAATATTCTCCATGAAATACCAGAACTGATTTAAGATAAGTACTGAATATTAGAACTGAGATGGCTGAGATGCATTAAACAAAGAACTATGAACTTTCTGCTTGGAGCTCTGTTTTTAATTTCAGCTTCCTGTTGGTAATCACTGGCAAGCAGAGATTTTAATAAAAAAAGAAAAGCTCTTCACACATTCTTTTGATGTCGTGCAAAGCTACCAGTTTACAAGCTGGATTTAAGACAGAATTATTAGGGGATAGGAACCTCAAGAATTTGTACAAGAAAAATATTATTTCCCTCCCTTCTCCCAAAGGATCAGATGCTCAGACATTATAATCATTTCACAAAAAAAAAAGGTATTCACAAATTTCAGATAACACATGAAACTATGCTCTAACTTTTCTTGATGTCCACAGAAATCAAGCCGGACGGCTTTATTACAATATATACAAGTCTTATCCTGAAGCATTAATCAGATAATTGTGATGATATTTAAAACAATTTCAGTTCTGCATTAAACAGACATGCCCCAAACCACTAGTAGATGCATGAGATGGATTGTTTTAGAAGTCAGCCCCGTAAATTGCTGCACACACGCCAAAGCCTGCTTTTGAGGGACATTGAAATCAGGTGGCACCGAGCCCTTCAGCAGGACAAGTGAGGAGGGTTGAAAAAAGGTGTACTTACTTCTTGCCATTTCAGATCCTGTTCTTGTAACTGTTCTTTTATCTTTTGTAGCTCTTCGTAACGGATTTTGCGCAATGTCTGCAGCTCCTCTGCACTGACATCATTCAAAGATTTACTCCTAGAAAGAAAAAGAGCACTCAGCTTTATCAGGTCTTAGCCATCATTTATGCACGTGAAACCTTCGAGAGAGAGAAAGAGAGATTTATATTAGTACAACTGAGAGCTCTTGAGCGTTATTTCGAATAGAGCAGGAAACACACGGGCTGCTGAACGAGCAAGGCTGGGACATGCTCTAGTGCCAGCACTCGAGTCAGTAGTTGCATATTTGAGCAAATAAAAATCAGGTTAAGGGAATAAGCAGCTCTAAAGCAGCTCCATGCTGATCATTCACAATGAGCTCCTCATATCCAACTATTACTTCTGTTTATTTCACTGAATTTTACTGAATTTTTAGAGTTGGAAGGGACCATAGAGATCATCTAGTCCAACTCCCCTGCTGAAGCAGGATTGCCTAGAGCTTGTCAGAGCATGTTACTCAGGACTGCATCCAGGCGGGTCTTGAAAATCTCCAGAGAAGGGGACTCCATGACCTCCCTGGGCAGCCTGTTCCAGGGCTCTGTCACCCTCACCAGAAAGAAGTTTTTCCTCATATTTGAGTGGAACCTCTTATGTTCCAACTTGTGCCCGTTGCCCCTCGTCCTCTCACTGGGAACCACTGAAAAGAGTCTGGCTCCCTCCTCCTTCAACCCTCCCTTGAGATATTTGTAAACATTAATAAGGTCTCCCCTCAGCCTTCTCTTCTCCAGACTAAAGAGTCCCAGCTCTCTCAGTCTTTCTTCATAAGGGAGATGCTCCAATCCTTGAATCATCTTTGTTGCCCTTCGCTGGACTCCTTCCAGTAGTTCCCTGTCCCTCTTGAACTGGGGAGCCCAGAACTGGACGCACTATTCCAGTTGTGGCCTCACCAGTGCAGAGTAGAGGGGGTTTACCTTTGTTACTCTCTTTATTGACCCTGGTCTTGTCTTTGACCTAAAAGGTGTCCCCCCTCCCTCAGTCTAAATTCCCATCCTTCCACTTGTTCTCTCCAGTAACAGCCCCAGAATCACCCCCCTTCTTTCCTTCCATAGACTAATCATCAATAAAATCAGTTATTGATGCATGTTTCTAAATGGCAAGTCACGCACGTCACAGGCCCCTCTAAGCCTACGTTAGTCCTCTCCAAGCCTCCCTGATGCTTTCCACCCAAGTCAGGATGGCTAACACAGCCATATTCTCAATAATTTCTTCAAGAGGACTACAAATTTCCCCCGTGAACCCCTACTCACTAGTTCCCTTTAATCTAAATTCCTCAAAGGTCACTTTTCATGCTTTTTCACCCCCCCACCTCCAGTGCTGTTTTCTCCTTTATTCTTTCACACTGCAGTGATAAACATAACAGGACTTTTAATTCATGTATAGGACAAAACTCCTGCTCAGAGCTGACCGCAAACCTCTGAGACACCAAGCAAAATGCAGGTGTGTTTCATCATAAGGTTTGATGCTGTAATATAAAAAGAAACCTAGGCTTCTGGGGTTTATTTTCGTTTTTTCAAAAATATTTTGTTTGCCGTTATCCAAACAAAACCTAAATGACAGGGGGCGTGTAACCAAGTTCCAACAGGACTTGAAAGTGTGGCACTGATATGATGGAAAATCGGGTTAAAAACAAAACTGATTCAGAGCCGGGCCTTTCTCTAATCTGTTACATACCAAGAAAGCTCTGAACTAACAAACCAGAGTCTTTCACTTCCTCCCAAGAGGCCCAACTCGCTTTCACTGGTAACACGAGACTTTGGACTTTGGCCTCTAGAAATAAAGGCCAGGGCATTAACTCATTCTACCTGTTTGCTTGTCTCTTTTCTGAATGGGAAGAACGCCCAATTTAGTAAATTCTCCTGGTTGCTATTGCAGAAACTCTTTTCTTGTACAGTTCGTTTCCCCATTCTTTTAATGGTTAAGTTGTATCACACGCAGAAAAGGTTTTGAGTAACCGAACTGTACGTATCAAAATTGTTCCAGATGAGTTCAAGAAAACTTACACGAGTAGGGTTTCATTTTCTTTGAGTTTCTATATCTGCCTGCAACAAAATAGGAAAATCTAGACCTAAATACAATATACTCCAACTATGAGAACAGTCATAACAAGAACAGGATGTTAATTTCAATTCTAGTCTTAAATTCAAAATCCAACTAGTGACTTGAGCCTTCTGAGTCTCCCTCCCCTAACACCTAACTGTTTCTGAAACATTTCTTGCTTCTTCTGGAAGTTTTGCCTCAGGGTAAAAAAAAAAAAAAGAAAAAAGAAATATTTTAAAAAAAAAAACAACATTAGAACACCATGCATAACCAAATACTTAACATGCCATCAAACAGGAAGTGAAAAAATATTTCTCCAAGTCATAGTACATCGTAAATGAGGCTTAAGTTCACATGGCACTAACCAATAAATTTACCACTGAGGATTCAATAACCTGAAGTATATAAAATAACCACAGAATATTCACCAATCCCATGACAAATACCACGTCATGAATTATTTTCAGATTCTAGCTGTACAGCCTTCAAAATAAAATATTTACTAATCTTCCTTTATAATTCTGAATGTTTTAAAGCCTAATTTAAATACAGAACACCAAGTACTTCACTTCAGCAGGAATGACATATTAGAGCTGATCTTCAAAGTGCCTGATAACTATAACTCAGATACTCTAGATGCCAGAGAGAACTTTTGCCAGACGCATAGCTTTTAGTCTCTTACATTCATTACATAAATTGCCCAAGCACAGAACAACCATGCAACATGCACAAGTTGCTTTCAGCACGAGTTTTTAGCTACTGTGCATGCATGAAAATTTAAACAAGAGGAAAACACAGTGTTACGATCTTCCAAGCTTTTATAAAACTTACCCTTGCTCATCAGAAAGCTTTTGAAACAGTCTGAGAAATCAGAAACCAAAAAAAAAGAGAAGGTTCAGTGTCTTGATATTCACAACAACATTAATACCACCAGTACACCAGCACTCTCACTAAGTGAAGGGGAAAGGGAAAGCTTGAGGACCAGCCAGCATGGAATAGCACATCAGAGATCCGACACTAGCCATGAAACACATCAGGACTTGCATGATGTGTAAGTTGGGCAGAAAACTGACTGAACAAGGCTGCCTGCAAGTTTCCAATACCTCCTATTTAGCACCACTGCACAAACAGAGCCTTGTATTAATTCTGCACCACTTATTCCAGTGCTGCTGAACAGCGTTATGCTCAAAAAATACTCATTTCAAGAAATGAAAATGAATGCAACTTGACTCCCAACAAGAAGCCTGGCCTACAGAGGCTCTTTTCTTGTTACTACAACCATCTCAGGTACTAAAAGAAAGTAATACTTGGAATGGATAAGAATAAAAGGCCACATATAGAAGTTTAGCACATTAAGTGGACAACAAATTCATGCAGTGTGATTCAAGAGGATTTTTAGCATTCTTGAATATGAGTATTTTATTCTACTGAGTGAAGTCCTAAAACGTGAAATATTTTCAAGCACTTCAGAAACATCCCTCAGTGAAGCTCACACTCTGTTAACAGTATTAAGCTTAAAAATTAAATGCAGCAACATCAAAGTACCAACTGGAACATGGAAGTGGCTTAGTCACGAAGTGATGATGCACAGCTGGAAGAACTGCAACTTGCAATGCCGTATTTTCAGAGCTAAGGAAACATTCGAAACCACACTCTCCCCCAGTAAGTACAAAATCCATAGGAGAGCTAGGAAGTAGTTAAAAAAACAGTACTGAGTCAGAGAAGAGAAATTTTGAGTATACCAGGAAAGGATTAGGGAAAAGTATTAATCAGGGCTGTATGAAAGCAGGGGGGAAATACTAGCAGAATAGAATACGTCACAGTGGAATTCAATATTACATGGACACACACCTTGCATGCACCATGACTTGGGGCGGGCAAAACAACACTAGTATATTTTTTTTCCACCCCACCTAATCATCTCAAAACTGTGGCAGGACAGTTTATAAGCATTTTCAGACTCAGGTGCAAGCAAGAATATCAGAATGTCTATCTCCAGAATTTGTCATTAAAGCATTCATCTGTTTCAGAAATGTTTTTATCAATTATATTGGGGAAAGAAAAAAAAAATATCTCTAGCTTCCATAGTCTTTTGAATAACCACTATTCCTGTTCAACCATGAAAAGAAACTTATGCAGAACTTTGAGCCTGAAGGATTGAGAATATGTTTTCTCTAAAATAGCAGCCTAAAACTAGAAAATATTGTAATTTTTTTTGTTGTTGTTGAAAATATGGTATTGCAGTCATGAGCTTTTATTCAAAGCAAATAAAAAGCTTGTCCGGGACGCCACGAACAAAGAGCAGCTTGGCACTCTACGGATGGGCTCAGCACAAGACGAGGCTTTTCTGAATGGAAAGGGTTCAACTGCACTCAAGCGCAATCCGTGCGGGACACAACCTGACCTCTCCACCATCTGCCGTTTCTTGTGTCTAACTTTGCTGGCCTCCCTGATCGCTTCCCACTTCTTCCAGTCTTCTTCGCTGCACGGACCTGGGATGAAATTGACTGGCTGGACGTTGCTTCCCACCTTCCAAGATTCAATCTTGCGGGTCAGCATATCATCCTTCTTATGGCGGGAAGATGGCGACAGCACTCTGCCGTTGCTCTTTTTTTCCTCAGTTGTTGTGTTTTTTTCAAGTAAACACAGAAATTTGGACCGGATCTCCTCTGGAAGACTCCACGGATCAGGAAAGAGTGCCGGGTGATACTTGTCTGGAGCGCCTGATAAAGGCACCTCTTTTTTCTGAGAGAGGATTTTACGGAAAATCATGTCATCCTTTTCCAAATCTGGAATCACAGGTTGGCCCTCTCTGGGTTGCAAAATTATCTCACCCTCTAGGGGAGGCTCCTCCTCAGATAATTTTTTTAAATACCGGGGGTCTTGGAGAACAACTTGATTCACATGGAAAGCCCCAGTTTTCCGAACGAACAAGTCATCGTTTTCTAAATCTGGATACAGATACCCGTTTTCCGCATCTCCTTCCTTGCATCCTGGTGCAAAGGAAATATTCTTTCTACATTTTATGAGCCTAGGGCCAGAAGTAGGATCAATTTTGGTCTTCGTTTCAGAAGACAAGTAGTCAGAGTATTTTTGCAGGGCCTGAAGTAACGAAAACTGACTGAAGCATATAAAACAAAAGGAGGGAAGTAAAAATATCATTAACTAGCAAGAAACAAGCAGATCACAACGCACTGCGATATACATTTGGTTTAGACTTGCAGTATCCCTAGCAGGACAACTACACCACTTGGCATTCACCACCACGAACCGTAGCACAGCACACGCCAACCAATATAAAGGTATCATGGCATACTAACCTGCTCAGAAACAGCACGCTTAACATGCTCACACATAAAGCCAGTAACCCTATGCAGCATGTTACACTTTTGCACTTACATGTTTTCAGAAGACCAGCAACTTATGGCTACGTTTAAAAAGAAAACAAAACAAACAAACGAAAAAAAAACCCACCAGAAGAAACGACAAAATAGTAATAACCAAAAAAAAAGCGCAACATCACAGGACGTGGTTTAATTTCATTTAGCTGTTGCATATCCAGCCATTTCTTTTTGATGCAGCAAGAGTACAGCTCATGCAGCAATATCAACCTGGGCTGATCAGAAGCCTCCAAGATTTTTCCTTCTGCAATCTGTGACAATGAACTTCCCACAAATTCAGCAGTTGGTTTATAGCTCTGATCCCTTCTGTAACCGGGGTTCCAGTCAAAACCTGGTCTTGGTTGATTAGCAACAATGGCAGAGCTTTGTTTGTAAGCAAATTCCTCATCCTCGGAATCTGATTTCTTTCTACTGTGTGGCAGCACAAAGAACGAGCAGAGGGAAAGAAAAAGACCCATGAAGTGTATGAATTGAGTAAAATGCACAGTAGCAACAGTGCAACAGTGTAATGGAAATAATATTTCAACTATTTTCTCAAAAAAAAAAAAATAAAGAGAGAAAACACAGCCTGCTGCTACGCTGGCAATAAAACAAAAAGGTCATAAAACTACACTTCATTTGCAAGTTTTGCACACAGGAGAGAAACAGGGGCATGCATGAAAACGCACCTGAACCCTTGAATCTCTTTATACCAGGGTTTGAAAGAGGATTTCCTGATTTTTTTCCATAGCAATTCTTCTTCTGGAGTCCAAAACTTAGGAAGAAATTTGTCAAAAGCAACCACTGTATTTGCCGCTGAAGAACTTAGCTTGCGAAAATAGAAATCATCTTTTTCAATGTTTGGGATGCCTATTTCTTCTTCCTCGTCCTCATCAAAATACCCAGATAATTCTGAAGGAATGTTAACTCTTGATTTGTTTTCCTCTTTAGCATCCAACTCCCTCTGCCTTCTCTGGTTACTGTTCAAAATACCCAATCAGTTAAGATATTTTAGGAGCAACTTGACAGAAAGAATGCAAAAAGGCATGCTTTTTGGCTCAGGAGTTCAACCTCATGAATGAAGCAAATTAGTTCTCAATTCCACCACTGCAGCACCAGAAATAATAATATATATATTTAAAAAAAAAAAAAAAAGTTAAATGGTTATATCAGCATCGCTCGGACAGAAATACGAAGTTTGACAGAAAAGGCATAACAATTTATCAGCTGTGTTAAAATGCCGATTAGAAGGCTTAACTTTATGGAGTTATTTATGGACTGCAATTTAGGTAACACAATAGTTACTGGATCTTGGATTAGTATCTCTGACCTCAGTGGTTCAAGCATTGCAGCTAGTGGACCAGCTGGATAACTTTCTTGTGAGCAAGATTTAGGAGGGTCATTGCGCAACATGAAATGATGTCCAGGTGCAGCAGAGCTTACAGGGCTCTTTTTGACTAGAAATCTACGTTTTGCTAAGTCATCCATGACCACGTCGGGCAGCCTTCTTTCATCTTCTGAATCAGAGCCACTGTCATACTCATAGATCATCTGGAAGGAAGCTGGATTTGTGAGCCCACACTCTGCTCTGCTATTTTGGCAGGAAGCTACGGGATTCCTTTCACGTCCACTGAGGTTGACCAAAACAGGAACAGAATGAAGACAGTGAAGTCACGAAGGCAATGATGAAACCCAAGAACTGCCCACTAATCTCATCTGTAAGCACCAAGAAGCTGGACAACCGAAATTCATCACCCTATTTTGATAGGGTTTAATGAGAAATAAAAACTGTAGGTCTAGCTCCCATGAACTGGCATTTAAGATCATTTAAAACCCCTCTTTCTGGAATCTGACCAGCCTCAAAACACTATTCAAACACCTGAAAACCAGTTATGTGGAACAAAGTAAAAAGATAAAGCCAAAACAAAACAAAAAAACCAACCACACAACCACAACAAAACACCCCTCCTGTTAAAATATGGAAACTTAAATACTTTACTTCCTATTGCAGCAACAGCAGCTTTTCTTTAACTAATAAAGAAATAATTTATTTAAAAAGCCCTAAATCAAAGTCTGGCTTACTAAGACCACACACCAGTACCTTGAAAATGCTCCATCTGACTCAGTGAAGACTGGACTTGCCCAGCTCCTCCTGTTGTCCTCATTCTTCTCTGTCCTCTTCTTCCTTAAGGGTGCTGGCACATACGCCGTCTGCTTGTTCTTGTTGGGTAAGAAGCGATTGAAGTCAGTGGTAGGTTTTGGCTCAATTGTGGAAATCCTACGGTAAGACCTGTCATCTTTATGGGAGTCGTGCATTTTGAAAGGCAGTTCTGAGTCCGTGTCACTGTCACAACCTTAGAAGAAAGGGGAGAGGAAAGACAGCACAAACGTTATCCTTTAGACACAATCTTCTAGCTAGGACTTGCACCAAAATCTTCTACAAGCAATTTCACTCTGTATTCAAGGTGTTTTAGCTGCAAACTTGCTCAGCTACAGGCAGGACAGCAGTAGAGGTATTTTTAGAAGTTTGTTGTGAAGGTGCTATGAAGTCCATTAAGCTGACATGGTTTGAATGCCCCTGCCACATTTGTTCCATTCTTTCACTGTCCCTGCACCCTGCAGGAAACAAAGAGCTAACCTCTAGATGGAAGACGTAAAATGGCACAGAAGGTTTTAATTAAAAACACACTTGCCATTCGAATTTACTAACAAAGCCAGGGTACCAGGAAATAGTATAGCAACACGCTCACCCCACCAGATTTACACCCAGTAGAAGCCAAGGGTACATCACGTATGTAGCATGGCTACGTGCTGCTTTGCTCAGATCAGAAATGCTCCATGTGGCCTTGGCTCAATGGTTTTGTGCGCATGGTACAAAATCCAAAAGCTCACTATTTTTATAGCTTTAAGTTAGACTACAAATTAGTATTGTATTTTAGAACTGGGGGACAAACACAGATTAGAGTACAGTTTTAAGGATCCAATTTCACAAACTTTCTGCTTGTTACTTTTCTTTCCATGATTAACTATCAAAAATAACAACTACTCTTCAGTTTTAAATCCAGGCTGGAAAAACCCTACTGCATCTCCAAAAATGGACTGAAGACACAGAGGTTTGACATATCTGTAGCCAGAAACAAGGCAAGAGACTTTTGCAACTGTTGACTTTCAGGTGAACCCATCGGGATCTGAATTCTAGCAATCTCCCTTCCTGAACTATGGGAAAATACCCCACACGTGCACATACAGTAATGTGGCTGTGAGAGCAAGAGTCCCAGCAACTCCTCCTATGAAAATTTATGTGACCACTGCTTTGTTTCTACCAACTGTCAAAGGTCAATATTTGCTTAACCAAAATGCAACTGCAGCAGTTGCAAAACCAGAATTGCCTTTCCCAAAGTACTAAGTCCATACATTGTCTTCTGTCACACTCGTAAGACATATGTCAACAAAAGATTTAAAAGAGGAAAAAACATACCTTCACTGCCACCTTTCAAGGTTATATCTGATGAAAAGCTTGTGGAGGATCTTGAACCAAGAGAGTCCAAGCTATCGAAGGAATCGTCTCTTTTATGTGTAGCTGAAGATGAGAAGGGCTCTCCCCGGTCAACGTACCAAATATCACCGTACCCACTATCCCTGCCACTTCTGTTCAGGTGACCGGACTCTTCGAGCGCCTATGAGAATAAGTTTTGAAGGGTCTTTTGCAACAATTTAAGGTAAAAGTGCTACTTGTGAGTTTTAACTCAAAAATTTTTTAAACGCATTTTGAGTTCACAAATGGACTTCACCAAAAACTACCGCAAACCCCCCAAAATTACACATTATACAAAAGCTTGGACAGGAGATTCAACACAAGGTCTTAAATTCCTCTTATCTTAACCAAAGGGAATCAAGACAAGGATTTTCACAATCTACCACATCAATAAGAGCAAGTGGATTCTGAATTTTGTGATTATATGAGTTGCTGAAGAACCGGTGTAAGCTAAAAAAATCATGAGGACTTCGACAGCAAGCAAAACAAACAAAACAAATGACTGTGTTCTCCAAACCAAGAATAAAATTAAACCCCTAAGAGATTACTTAGAGTTGATGTTATAACGTATAGCAAACTATAAAATTCAGGCTGTTTGTTTACTATTCTTTTTGGATTCCTTACCTTAGTCAATGCTTGCCCTAATAACTTCTCAAATGCTTTAAGGTTGAGGTATGGACCATTATAATGAGGGCTGCTTTGAGCTTTTCTTCCAAGCCAGTATAATGTAATCAAAACCTAAAAACAAACCAAAAAAAACCAAATACAAACTTAATTCCTTTCTTCTCATGTACCAGTATAAAATAATCTCAGCATGCTGTTAGAGATGTTTTTCCCCCAATGAATTGTAAAATCTTATTTACAGTACTAGCTACGATCTCCATCAAAACCAATTAAGGAGTGTTACGATGCAGCTCATGTATGTCAAGTAAGCAGTACTGTTTCTAATTATTACACTTATTTGGGAAAGTAAGCTGCATAGAGATCATAGTAAGATGGCACTAATTTGCATCAGATAGATGAACAACTGAAGAATAAGGTAAACATGCTAATGCCACAAACAGAAACATTTTAGAAATACTTAATGAGAATTACTGTGAAATTGTTTCAGAAAGCATTGAAGTAAGTGTGTCTTACATTTTTCACTCTTCTGTTGGTCTCCTCTGGTCTGAAGCAGGGCAGGGAGTGAGAAAAACAAAACAAAAAGTTTTTAAATATCTGATTTAAAATTTAATTATTATTCAAGATTTAAAAGGTTTCAAGCCCAATTAGAAGTCAGTATAAAATATGCGACTATGACTGTTCCAAAAGAAATAAAAAGCAATCTGCTTTGAATTCATAGGCTTAACTCTGTACTATTTCAATTGTTACATATAAAGTGAGAAACTCGCAGATCTACTATAGTATCTGACTGGAGAGGTACCCAGAAAGGCTCTAGGTTTTTTTAATTAGCCAAGGTTTTTAGTTGCTAACAAAATAACAGTGGAAAACAAGCTAATGACTTTGGGAAATATAGTCTCTATTAGCCAGGAAGACCTTCAGTTCCACATAAAAGCAGATTCCATTGTTATTTTTTCCCCAATTGTATTATGTTTTCTGAAGTATTTGTCCCAGACACAGAGAGTGCTTCAGCCTTGAGAGAATTTTTCAAGCAAAAAAAATGAGCAGCTAAAACTGGGACAGCCTCTGAGAGGTATTGTAGGGTTGGAAAGAGGAGTTTGGTTTGCTTTTATGTTAAAAAAAAAATAAAAATAAAATTAAACCATTATGCAATTGTTAACATTAGTAAACTTTTTACAAAAAAATATATAGCCAATTTGTGGCACACCTCAGAAGTGCACCAGTGCCCACTCAGAGTGGTCCTCTTCTCCTGCTTATTTTAAGAACAAGAAGAAACTTTTTGGATGGGAGCCTCCCATGAATGGGGTACCACAGACTCAGTCCTCAGGTGTAGCACATCCACAGCTGGACTGCAGACAGCGGCTGCACAACACTCCCGGTTATGGAAGAGCAAATGCCTTAAATACACTGAAAACAACTTTTCACCTGCCCCTACAGGCTGAGGGAGCTGGGGTTGTTCAGCCTGGAGAAGAGGAGGCTCCGGGGAGACCTAATAGCAGCCTTCCAGTACCTGAAGGGGGCCTACAGGAAGGCCGGGGAGAGCCTGTTTACAAAGGCCTGTAGTGACAGGATGAGGAGAAATGGCTTTAAACTGGAGGGGAGCAGATTTAGATTGGAGATTAGGAGAGGGTTCTTCACTGTGAGGGTGGTGGAGCACTGGAACAGGTTGCCCAGGGAGGTGGTTGAGGCCCCATCCCTGGAGATATTCAAGGTGAGGCTCGATGAGGCCCTGGGCAACCTGGTCTAGTTGGGGGTGTCCCTGCTGACTGTGGGGGGGGTCAGACTAGATGACCTTTGGAGGTCCCTTCTGGCCTAGACAATTCTATGATTCTATGAATGCTGTTGGTTTGGGGTGGCTAAGCAGCAAGCTGCACACACAGCACGGTGAAGGGGTCCAAACAAAAACCGCCATGAACTAACACATGGCGGCAGGAAGACCTAAACAGAGCCCCATAACAGGTCAGACCAGAGATGTACCAGGGCACCTATCCTGTTTCTGGCTGCCTAGGAGCAAGTTTGCCAAAGGTTGCAGGGAAAAGGTAAAATAATCCGTTCAGGCAACGGTTATGAGGTAGCAAAACGATGACAGGGCCTGGACAGGGTGGATGAGACTCTTCACGGAAATACAATATTTGAAGCAACGTGACAACCAGCAGGAACAGAGACAGTCCCTCCTTCTCTTTCCTTCTAGCTTGAGAGCTCCTGCTCCCACTTGGTGTGGCTGTAATTGCCTGGCCCGTCCCCCACACCATAAAGAAATCAGGCTGCCAGGAACACAAAGTCCTGAGACAGATCCAACCTGTGCAATCCCCACTTGCAGCTTCCTTAATGTCACATGCCAGAGATACCACTGCCTTTGTAGTCAGTGACCTCTTCCTCAAGGATAAGGAGGAACCTCTTCTTCTTTAATGTGAAATATTTACACCTCTTTTTTGTTTTTTTCTTAATTATTTTTAAAAACCTCCTGAGACACATTGTTGTTCTTTTTTCCACCAGAGACTATTTTTGATAAAGCTTTCCTCTTTCTTGTCTTCACTATATGGGTTTCTTTTCCAATGTCCGTGCTGCAGAACACACCATGGCTGTGACCTAACGTGTTGACTAGAGGACAGAAAATTATTCTCCTAGTGGTCTGTATCAGCATTATGCTTCCCACATCTGACAGAGAGCATTTCAAAAGTTTACATTCTTGAGCTTCAAGGTCTGAAAGCCTTTCATCAGGGCAGAATTTCTTCTGTTATTTGCAACTCTACAAGCAGAGGCCAGGCATGCCCTTGCTAAGGATGCCTTAAAGTTTGCCTCCAGAGTTTATCAGTCTAGCAATGGGTGAAAAACTCTGCCCTGAGTCAGCTGGGGTCCAGCCTGGATACATGACTGTTGTACATCCATTCTACATGAGTCTGGCCACCACTCATGTAGAAGCGAACAGGAGGAACATTCAGCTGGTTTTATATTTCAAATATATTTTCTACGCTTGAATAACCATAAATACACCAGGCCTGCGTACTTGGGCTATAAACAATGTGCAAAACTTAAGTCATTTACGTAAATTAATGAGCATAGTTGAGACCCAAAGTGCAGGCAGGGAAATACTTCACACGATTGAATAAGAGACCGTGTTCCGTTCGCGTGTTTGCTCGGCTAACAACGGAAGCAAACGGACAAGTTGTTTACCCTCCGTGAGCAAGGTTTCTTCACCTGTATTACTACTCTCCTTCTCTTAACTACACCTATTGGTCCTTAAGCCTTTTAAGCAACATTTCATGACAGACATAGTCTGCCCAGAAGAAAAAAAAAAAATAAGAAAACCCCTGCTAATCTAGAACAATAAGTTCCTCATTGATATAGGCATATATTAATTCTTTTATGACCCTGAAGTAAGGGGAAAAAGGAGGATTCTGGACGATTAATGTATTCTCCTAGAATTTGTGTAAAACAAAAGGTATACAATTTTTTGGCAAAACAAAATCCTGAATAAAGAAGGTCTTAAAAGTAATTTGTCACCCCCAAACTTCACAGCTGTAGGTATGCAACTTGTAGAAGATCCACTTGTTATCATCCTCCAAGTGAAATAAGGGCCTTTAGAAGTACAACTTAGCCAAGCTCATGACGCACATCTGAGCTTATGTTCAGAAGACATTGCCCAGTTACTCTCCAGTATATTGCATTTAAAATAGCTGGGCAAATATCTATTGGATAGCAGTGTGAGACAAACTGAAGAGCTTCTAAGAGGAATGACTTTTTCCCATAAGCATCAAAATAAATAAAAAAGCAAGATTTTAACTCAACTGCAATAAATGAAAACACAAACTGAAATCACTATATTAAATAGAAGTTCTCCTTCATAAAGTGTTATCAAAATGTAAATATTATGCAGTGCCATGAAAAGAATTCAGCTGGGGTCTTGTGTTTACTTCTGAACAGCTACAGTTCATAGCAGGGGACAAGACGGAGGAGGCACCAACTTCAAATACAGCCAGTTCTTTGCCGCTGTGAGAGGAGGCACGATCCTACCTTTTCTGACAACCTGTTGCTACCCAACAGCGAGCTCCTGCTCCCGCCTCCGCTCCCATTCTCCAGTCCCACCCTAAATAGACACGGTTGAAACACTCGGTTTCTCACGCTGTATTTGAAGAAATCAGTTGGAAGATGCGAGTGCAAGATCTTCAGCAATGTAGCCTTTAAGCTTTTTAAACACTCCTGGACAATCATCACCTTATTTAGAACATGTCTATGGAATTGAAGTGTACACAGAGAACTGCTTACAGAGACATTTGTCCGATGAAAGCTGTTCTAGGAACTCAAGGGGTAAACCACCTGAAGTATGTTCATCAATGCAAATAAGCACCAGTCCTACAATGGGCAAACGCGAAAGAAGTCTGCTTTTTGATGTTTCCATCCAAAATCATCAGAGAGCCCAGTTGATGCAGACTATAGCCTTTATGAAAATATTATTCTGTATAACCTAATTTATGACTTGAATAGATGAATGCCTTTACACTGGAAGCTATGAGCAAGGCTGCTGCTTTGCTCAGGAAGGCACAGCCAAGGCTGCACCTTAAAAACAGTCTGCTGAAAGAAGTGAGCTCCTGTCCAAATGACGCTGCAACACCGCTTACCAAACCATTTCATGTCATTTCAGTTTTCCCACAAGCTTTTATATCTCCTTTCACTAACAATGCAACTTCTCTATAAACACGTGAACTAAGCTGAGGAAGCTGCTAAAGAGAGGGGTTAAGATCTTGCAGAAAGACTTTTATTCCAAATACTTCACCTGCTCTTGTCACAGTCTCAGCATTTGAGCACTCATTATAAAAGAAACGTAACTCTGATCCTCTGCGTTACCTAATCTAACCCCAATGTCAAACCCCAACTCAACATGGCCAAAAATTTAAAAGTACAACTTTAATTTGCAAAGCGTGAACTTTAATTGTTGGCAGTGGTTTCAATAAAAGCTTATGTACAGCTTAGATATTTTCCAGGATGGCTAATCTTGATCTAACACAGCACGAAAGTCTAAAGGCCATGAGATAACAATACGTGGAGTTATTATAATAATTATGAAGCGTAACTGCATGATTCCAGGTTGAGCACTGATGCAAAAAGATGTGAAATAACCACTCGTGGAGAAATACTACCTTCTGTGTAAATCATCTCATCTACGTCAATCCCTTAGCAAACAGAAAAATACAACTGGGACAGAAATAGCTCCTGCTTGTTAGTAGGCAATGCACTTAGTGACCAAATACCTCTGTTACGTTTGAACGCAACACATATTCACAGACATCACATATGCCCAGCCAGCACAGACCGATGGATGTTTCCCTGCTGAGGACCACTCTACAAGAATAAAGCAAAGTGACACGGCAGATCAGCGGGTTGAGCCGCAGCCCAAGGAATTTAGTCTTGGCTCTGCTGTTTGCTCAAGGTTAAATAGCAAAATTAGTCACCAAGGCCCTAGCCTGACAATACAAAGGCTTTGGCAGCAGCTCTAGCTTAAGGATTTCCTGGTCTCCCTCTCCCTTCCAGCCGCTCCTGTTTGCTGCC